TGGGACGTAAAATGTATTTTAAAAACCCCACCTGCTCCAAAGCTGTGTCTGACTCAAAGCAGATGGACTGAGCATTGCTGAGTCCTTCTAGGGTGACACCCCAAAAGACTCTTTTGACTTCAGTAGCTGAAGACCTTTGATCATCTTCTATGGGAAATGTGATTAACAGAGCTGTAGAGAATGATACATCACTTTCCTTTCTACCCAAAGCCCCTTCCTTCTCCACCCACATCCTGATGATCTCCCAGCTGACGTACATGTGCTCGTGGAAAAGTAGGATGAGATAAAAGCTGTCTTCCAGTGGCACAGGGTCCGACTCACCGGCAGCAGCGACACCAGTGTAATTATACACACTCCAATCCGATCTCCCAGTAATTATTCTGGAATAAAAGCCTGCCTATTTCTGTAAGACCTTATGTCACTTGGAAAGCTGTTATAAATTCAGCTGGAAAAAGGGACCCTTATTCTGGGATAAGTGTGGTTAGTGGTTAACTAGGAACAGGGCTATTCCTGGCGTTGCCATCGACCTTCCTGGTGACGCTGGGGTAAGTCACTTCACCTCAGTGTGTGTCACCTTCTCCTGCTGCAAACTGGGAATTACAAACAAGGGCTTTCGCAGGCAGCGTTTTGGGAAGGCCCATGACTCTGGAAAAAAGGTGTCACAGGGTGCCAGACAGTCATTTAGTGGGACCTGGTGCTTTTTTACCCACCTTAGAAGCATCTGGATCAAACTGTAGGCTGGGAAAATTAGGGACGAGCGTTGGGGACCGGCTGAGCCGCATGAGCCTGGGCTGTTGGCGTGTTACTGGGAATACTGTTTTCCTCTCGGTTTTTAAAAATAGTCTATTCTGTTCCAAGTTGTAGACCACAGCCCTTGCTGGGGCATTGAAACGTCTGGGCTGCTGTTTTCTCAAGCCAGCACCTTCCACTGTTCAGGCTTGGGATGCGATGCCAGCATCCATCCCCTCAAACTGCTGGGTCCAGCAAAGATGGGGGGGTCCTGCCCTGGACTGGCAGCATTGACTCTGATTCTCATGGACAGGAGGGAAAAGGGAAATCTGGTTCACTCTTCTGCCTGCAGTATCCCTGCCTGGTTCAATAGCTGCTTCTGCAAGCCCTAAGGGCCTTGGGGACTTTTGCTTCTCAGCAGCTTCTTGTGCAGCCTCAGAAACTGCTTTTGGCTCACCATCACACAAGCACACACAGCTGAAGATGCAGCTCGTTCCTAGCACATGGCATGAAATCCATGCTAGAGGTGGGGAGAATCGTCTTGGAGGCTTTTATCATTTGCACAGACAGTGCAGGCTGGCTCACAGCCAGAACCCATCTGCTTGCCAAAGCGGGTGCTGCCCACGGAGCAGCAGGACCAAGGTGCTGATGCCAAGAGGTGCAGGCAGAGCCTGCCCTGGCGCGTTCCCACGGCCTCCGTCCCTGCGCAAGCAGCGGAGTGGGGCTCACTGCCACTCGGAATTGGGCTGGAGCCAAGGAGGCAGAGGGGAAAAAGCCTTTTACAGTCCATTAGTGCTCCCCAGAGCCATTCAGCCCCTCTAGTCGTAAAAGTGGTGGAAGCCACAGAAACATTACGGCTGGTCTGCAGAAGATGCTGGTCTGCAGAAGATGCCAGCCCACCTCCCGGCTCCATGTCCCTTCCCAGGGGCTTTGCCAAAGCCCCTGGCCCTCACGGCAGTTTGGCTGCTGGAATTCCCTCTGGGAACAAGCTGGCAAAGGGCTGGTTCCCTGTCCATCCTGAGCTCCCCCCAAGCAAAATGTACATGGGAGGGTTCCAAGTGCAAATGTGTGTGTGCTAATGGGAACTGAATTGCCTCTTGCCCCGAAGCCTTGCAGCTTGAGGAAAACAAGGCAGGGGCTAGGAATGACCTCATATCGCCTCCCAGGGAATGTTTTGCCAGATGAAGGGGGGAGAGGCAGCATCAAGACAGCACAATGTATGTATCTCTCTCCCTGTGTAAACATCTCTGTAGCTGCAGAAACCTCTTAAAACCCCGAATGAGAGGAGAACAGCTGCTTTGATCTGTGGATGTGGTTGTTGTTTTCTGAGTGCAGATCCGTTCTTTTTTTAATTTTGCTTCAAATTAAAAAAATGCCTGTTGTGATCTTTTGCTTTTATTTCTTGGCGAGGGACCGGAGAGTGGTGCAGTAAATTTTCATGACTCCCCATGTAACCGTTTCAGCATGGCTGACAATTCCTCGCCGTCTCTTCAGCGCCGCAGCACAATGGGCCGAATCTTCTGGCCCTACATGAAGCCAAAGCAAATGGATTTTGCCCAGAAGTGCACAACGGGGAGTGGAGGCAGCGGGGAGGAGAGTCCTGCCACCTCCTTCCCTGCCACACACACACACACACACACACACACACACAAGGCTCAGGCTGGCAGGGCTGTCCCAATGCCTGTGAAGGGTTTTGGAGTCAGCTCCTGGGCACGGATTCATGCCAGCCCTGTGCGGCAGCGGCAGGAGCTGGTGAGGAGCCATGGGCCGAAGCGCTGGGCTGTCCTGCAGGTGATGTCAGTGTGACTGGTGGCACTCCCTCCAGACTCCCTGTGTGATGTCAGGAATTCCCATCTTTCCCCCTGGGGGACAGCCCTGTGCTTGGAGGGGCACCAAAGCATGTGCAGCCCTGGCACCACCACTGGCCCTTTGGCCACTTGACCGGGCAGCGTGCTTTGGGAAGATTACATAGCTTTTTTGGGAATTCCTGGACATCAGCAGTTCACTCCAACCCCACTGCTTCGCTGTGGTACTTCATAACCCTCTTGGAGGAGCGAGACATGGGGCTCAGCCCCTTGGCTCCTGTGGCATGACCCACCCCCCAGCATGGCACTGGTTTAACTGGGAGTACTTGGCCAGAGACCTGTCCCCACTGAGGCGGTCTGGAGCGAGTGAGGAGTTTGTTCATTCCCCCCACGCTGTCACGTGGCTGCTCGGTGTTTTGGCATTTTAATTACACACGGTCCTGTGTATTTAAGGCTGGTTTATGGGTGTTTATACTAATGCGTAAACCTGCAATTTAGAAACTCAGTTATAAATCAACATTGCTGAAGGTCTTGTCCCTCGTGCCGTGAGATCGGTCTCCAGATTTAGAAGATAGGTTAGAGGGAAAAGAAGGAGGACTGTTTAGTTTTCCTCTGGTTATGATGATAAAGGATCACAGGATGGGGTGCGAGGTGTGGTGGCTGGACACAGAGATCTGCCAGCATAACCCAGAGTAGAGTTTCCATCTTGACTCTGCTCTTATGAGTCTTTGCCATAAGAGAATTGCATTTCTGCAGCAAATTCCAGCCCAGAAAGAAAAGCAGTGCCACAGCTGCTGATCTGATACTCACAGGAGGGTGGTGGCACCCCACTGGTGATGTCTTCAGATCAGGATGTGGGCTGCAATGCCCAGAGCCCCATCCCACTCAACACTCCAGAGGAGGAGCTTTTGTACCCTGGAGCTCCAGGCACAGACTGGAGCTGGCTTCCTCCAGCACCAGCACCCAGTGGGATGGCACATGCCCACTGGTGGGTCATGGTCCTCTCCCAGCACATCCTAAGGACAACACCTCCACATTCATATTTTCATGTACATTTTTTTACAGCTTTAAGAATCATTTGTGCACCTTTGCCCCTTACCAGCTGCCGTGGAGCCTGGCTGTGCCAGGGATGGGTTTGGGTTACTGGTGTGTGCTCCTGCAAACCCCTTCCAAAAGGGAAGGTCCCTGTCTCATGAGGGCAGCCCAGTGTGTCTTTGTAGGGAAAGACCCAGGGAATCCTCAGCATCCTCCTGTCCAGCTGCAGTCCCTCCTCTCTGCCGTGGGTTAGCTGGATATTTTCTACTGCCTCTAGCCCCCTTTGTCATATCTTTAGGGGTTATTAGGACAAAAAGGTGTTTGCGGGGTGTAGGGGCAGCACAGTGGGCTGGGAGGGAGCCCACGGGCAGAATGACCACTGGGGCTGTCAGATCCCTGTCCCTGGACAGGTGGAATCACTGCCCACCTTCCTCCCAGTCCCGTTCCTGGCTCCAGCCTTAATCTCTCCCTGCAGTTTCCTGGCTGGCGATGCCTCTCCTGGCTCAGGGAGCTGGAGCACCCCGGAAGAGAGACGGTGCCAGCAGCTCCCAGTGCAAGGACGGTCACGGGGTGGGACAGGGATCCCCCTGCCTCCCTGGGGTGCCCCCAGCTCCAGGGGGCCAGGCTGTGAGAAGATCCTGCAAGCAAACAAAAAACCACTGAATATTTCAGAAAGGTTTTTTTCTTCCCCCTCCACCCTTATTTCCAGTCCTCCTTCCACCTCTCAGGGCAGCCAGCAGAGCTGTTCTCTGGCCCTGTTTCCCCCTGCCCAGCACCCCGAGACTTTCCAAAAGCCACCAAGCCCAGCCAGGTCGTGCCATCTGCAAACTCTCAGGTTTTTTAATTACATATATTTTTTCCCTTGTCCTTTTCTTTCCCACCCCTTGCCTTTTCCCATGCCATACGCCTCCCCCTGGCCCCCCTCCCCTTGCCACCACCCCAAGCCCTCGGCTGGCCGAGGGGCTGCGAGGTGCGGGGTGGGTCTGGGGGTTGCGGGGGGCTTTGCATTGATGCATTGATCGCCCATGGTCTCCGCCTGACCTCCCTGCTCCCAGGGAAGCAGTCTCCATGGCTACTGGCCCTTCTCCTTCAGCGCAGACTGTAAATTCCTGCAGGCAAAGCCCAGCCTTGGGGGTGCGAGGGGGGGAGCCGTGAAGGAGTAACCAAAGCCAAATAGAAAGAAAGAAAGAAAGGCTGGGAGAGAGAAAAAGGGCGTTGCTTGGATGGGGCTCTCCTTTCCACTCCCCTTTCCCAGGTCCCCAGCACCAGGGCAAGGCGCCTGCTTCCCCCCTCCAGCACTACTGCTCCTGCTGCTGCTGCTCTTGCAAAACTGGAATTGGCTGGGATTATTTAAGGGAAAAAAAAAGGAGGAGAAGGGATCAGAGCAGCCGCCAGAGAGAGGGCGATAGAGTCCACTTTCCTCCAACTGCCCTGGGTCTCCCTCCCTCGCTCTCTCCTCTTCAGCAACACCAAGAGCCCCAAACTGAACCCAGAGCAGCTTTTTCCATCAGTTCAGTTCCCTTCCCTCGCTCTGTCTCACACACGGCAAGGAGAGAGCCCCTTCCTCCCTTTGATTTTCCTTCGCATGCTCAGCCCCTTGTTTCCTTTAAAGCACTAGAAATCCCCTTTCTTGCCCCCGCTCCTCCCTGCAGACTGGGATTGCAATGGGAGCTTTGCAGATTGCTGGATTTTCCATCCTTTTCTTTCTCCTCCACTCTGGAAACACGCTGGCAAATAAAGCCAGTCAAGGTAAGAGAAAATCTTCCCTGCTCGAAGGTTTGCTGTTTGATGTGTGGATTGGACAGCCGGATCTCCTCGTTAGAGCTGGGGTTTAAGTGCAGGCTGGAGAAGGCAGCAGCAGTAACAACAAACAGTGGAGGGGATTTTAAATGTCGCTTGCAGATATTCTCGCCTACTGCCTTGGAACTGGGGTTGGGTTTGTAAACTCTTTAATGAGTTGCGTTTCTTAGACTTTAGGTTTTTTTGTTTGTTTGTTTGTTTGGACTCGTTATCTCAAGGCAAGGGGTGCAGGGACAGAAAATTAGGGTGGGCAAACAAGTCTGCATCCATCACAGGCAAAATGTGGCTGTTTGGAGAGGCTTGGGGGGCTCTGCTGGTTTTGTGCCTGTGAGATGGGGCTACCACGGCAGTAGTGTGGGCGAGGAGGCTGCTCCGGGCTGGGCTGGAGGGCAGGGATGGCGGAGCGGGTGTTGATAACGCCGGGAGGCTGCATCTGTGCTCGGGGATTCACATCGGCACCGGGGAATCTCAGATGTGGGCAACAGGAAACTTCAGGTAGCTGAGCACAGCTAAGCCTGAAAATTAAGGGAGCTCTTTCCCTATCTCGTGGTTTGTCCCATCCTTATCAACTTTGGGCTTTTCTGTTTCACAACTCCCGTATTGAGCCAGAGCCTCCCCTTCCCAGACGTACACACGGAGCTTTATGTATGGTCTATCTATACCTTCACTTTTCTATAGCACCTCTATATTTAGCTCAGATTTTTTCTATACACGCGCGCGGGAGTGCGTGCGCCCACACGAGCACACACAGCCCTATACATGATCCTGTTGGCTGTCTCAAAGGGGGTTTTCTCCTTAATTCACCACTATCTGTACAATCTGTCGGGTTTTCTCTTTTTCTTTCCACGGCATGTAAGGTTTCTCCGGCCCGGCTCTGGCTGTGCCGTTGTGGCAGCTGCGTGTTTGTGCGTACGGCGAGATTAAATAGCGTGTGAATGAAATCTCGGAGCGCAGGGTATAATGAAAGATCTCTTGTAGGAGGATTCCAGCCACGCGCGTGGTCGCCCGAGCCCTGTCACCGACAAAGTTAGAAGGAATTTCAAGGCTATTGTCTTATCTGGCTCAAAGTGTTTCTAAAACAATAGGCGACTTCTCCGGAGGGCAGCCTGGGCAAGCAGGAGAGATTTTCCAGGGCAAAGGTTTGGTGAGAAGGCGTCCAGCTTCACATAAAGCTTTATGATTTAGGCACAGAAAGGAATGCTTAGGTTTTTATCCCCCCTCAAATTATCTTGAGTGTATGCATTGCTTTCATTTCTTATCATAATATTTATTTATTAAGGCCTTTTGGTTTCCAGTTCCATTTAAGCCTGAGCCAGAATTGCATTAAAATAGCAAAGTGAAATTCCATCGTGCAGAGACTTGACAGATCCCTTCAGGGAAGGAGAGGGGTGGAGTGGGGGTGGAGAGAGGTGAGCTCAATCCTGTGCCGGGTTCATCGCCCGCCGTGCGCTGGGACAGCGCTGGCTCCTCCCGGGTGTCTGGTGCTCACCAGCCGGGGGGCTGCGCTGGAGAATTGATCCCTGAGGCTGCAGTTTTGGGGTTCTGTGGGCTGGGGAGGGGAAGGTGACTGCAGAGAGGCAGAGGTTGGTGTCTATGGGCAGGGATGGGCCTGGTGCTGGTGGTCCTTTTTGGATGAGGCCGAGTTCATGGGCACTGTTAGGGCATCACTGATGGCAAGTACAGCATGTGCCTTTCCTCACAACCTGCTGTCTCCTGGGTTTTCTGACTGTCACTGAGCTCTTTGATTCCACTCTGTGTATCTGGGACATGTATTAGGATATTTCTCAAAAGCATCAAAGTGTGTGTGGCAGGTGACAACACCCCAAGGATGGGGCACACATCACCCCAAAACCTTTGCTCTTTTAAGGGACAGTCACCCTTGCCAGCTGACTGTCGTGGGCTGGAAAGGGCTCCTCTCCCATCTGTCTTTTCTTGATGGGATAACATTGTGTCATGGGTTGGGCTTGCTGGCTCATTTCTTGTACTGAATTACCCCAGAAAGTTTAGTCTGTGGGGAAGGAAGGATTTAGAGAGCTGGCTGCTGGGCCTGGAGGGTGTCTGCCAGTGGACCTGGCTGGCTGTGGAGTCAGCTTAGGGCTAGGGAAGCTTTCAAGAGGAGAACTGGCAATATAAATCTAAATAACCATAGGGAGGCTTGTGACATGCATTCACATCTGCAGGCCGCAGGTCAAGCTGCCCACATGTTGCTGTGCCCACCACTCCTCTGGGTTTTGGATAGATAATGTCAGCCCCAGTCCCAGCCTCTTGTCTGTCAGTCCATCTCACATCCTTCCAGACAGAAGAGTTTGTCCTGCTCTCAGTGGAGCGGTGCCCTTACCTGCTGTCTGCTGGCCTCAGTCCCTCCCTGCATACTGGGAGGACAGAGCCCTGGGACTGGCAGCTCTGTACCCTCCTCGGGCAGTGCCAGCCCCTCTGGCAGCGCCCTCATCACTGGGAACACATCCCAGGATTTGCCACTTTTCCCTGCAACTCATTGCACATCCCCTCAGATGATGCTGTGGTGTGGGAGCAGGAGGGAGAGGCAGCATCTCCCTGGGAGTTCCCAGCACCCCAGCTTGCAGCCCCTGGTGTTCCCAGAACCCCAGTTCAGGGTCCTGGGTGGGATGACAGCCTCAGCCCAGCCCACGGAGCACTCGATGGTTGATGGTTGGCACCAGCCCTCCTGGCTGGTGCTGTGTGGCTGCCCGGGGCACAGCCACTGTCCCACGTGAGGGGCCGGTGTGCTGGGATGCACCTGCAAAGCCTACACCACCAGGGATTATTTTCTGTATTTTTTTAAGGAGTCTAAAATTTTCCAATTGCAGCATGGAGATGCTGTTGGATTCCCCTCCCATTGCCGCCAAACCTCCTCCCCCTTGGCCTCTGCCTTCCTACCTCTCCAGCATTCACAGTGTGCGACTGTTGTGCCTGTCCCCTCCACCCCGCTGAAATATGAAATGTAAAACTGTAAACATTTCACATACACAGTTCAAAGGAGATCTTTGACTGAGGACGTCTAACATGCCTGTACCGAGATTAAAAAAGGGGAGGGGGTGGGTAGGAAGGAGGGAAGAAGAGTTTTTTTTGTAACTGCCAACTGGAGTATAAATATTCAGACACCTTGAGTCTTCCAGTGACGATGTATTGCTCTCTCCTAACTGCTCAGGAGTTTGGGGGTTCTCGTCTTTTATTTCTATATCAATTTTTTTCCTTCGCAGACAGCCACACCAGAGTACTCAGTTTAGGAAAATAGTATGCATGATTGACCTTAACCTTCACTTTCTAAGTCCCCTGAGAGGCTTTAGGAGAAGCCTGGGATGGCAAATAAAGTTTGCTCTGTCTGGCAGCACTGGAGGATGCCTGGCTGTGTTTTGGAGAGGCTGGAGGTCTTGAGATTGTTGCTCCTGGAGCAAAAAACAAACACATTTTTTAAGGCAAGGCCAGGTCAGTCTGATAAACCAAAGGAACAACAACAGCAGTGACATTTCTATGGGGAGATGAACAGGCTGCTGGTGTGGAGCATCAAACCCTCTGCGGGGAAGTGGTGATGGAATTGGGTTGAAGTGACCAGGGTTGGCACAAGGAGGTGGGATGGAGGTGGAGGGAACATTTCCTACCCAGGGAATGGTGGTAGAACTGGGATCCATCAGGATGACCTGGGCTGCTGCAGGGGATGGACAGCTCAACCTAGCTCTGCCCTCATGGGAGTGGGAAGCATAAGTGAGGGGGATAAAAAAGCTCTTTTTTATCATTAACAGCTTTGGGGAAGCAAAACCCAGGGTGAGGGTTATAGGGCAGGGTCTGGGCATTGGACAGTAGGGTCACCAGGCTGGCAGTGGCCCCGGGTGCTCGCTGTGACTTGCGGTTCCTCCTCCGTCCATCCTCCATCATTGCACAGGGCCAAGTGCTAGGGCTGCACCTCCTGTGTCCCACCTGCTTTTGGGAAAGCTGGGTGGATGTGCAGGGCACGGGGCTGGTTTGGGGGTCTCCATTGCATGGTGAGATGCAGACATCCCCTCTGAGCCATCCTGAGCACAGGTACCTGCCCAGGGAGCACTGGCACCCCCATCCTGGCAGCAAGACCTCACCCAGCACCTGAGTCAGGATCTCTGAGTGCAGATGACACTTCTTTAGCCAGTTTACAGAAGGCAGAGCATCCTCCTCTCCTCTCCTGGCCCACATCCCCTCCCAGGAGCTGCCACTGCCCGTGGCCATGCCCTGAGCCACTCCTGCTGTGGTACAGCACGAGTCACCCTTGCAAGCTCCCTGGACGAACAAATGATTAATAAACTGCACCACAGTGTCTGAGGTGGTTATTAATACCCTGGTAAAAGGAGCTACTGAAGTTATAAAGCTTTAATTTGGCATTAAGGCCGAGTGGAAACTCCGCGTGTCTGCCAACAGCTACACACACATCCCCATACAGACAGGCCGTTAATATATATGCCTATATAAAAACAAAGAATAAAATTAATTTGTAGAAAAAGCTGAAGCACTTGTAGGAGAGGGGGAAAGTGATGGTAGGTTTGTTTGTTTAGGATTTTTCAGGCCAGTTTTTGCTGTCCTGAAAAAAGTTTTTGCTGTCCTCACCCCCCTCCTCAAATTTATTGGAACTTTTGGCCTAGGGTTAAAACCATCTTTTATTATTTTTTTTAAAACAAAATAAGGAAGTGAGGAAAGAGCCTCAATCCAGGCTCTAAAAATATACGAGCTGTTGCTTTATCCCCCTCCTCGCTGTCGGGTGTGATGCTGCCGGGCACAGAGGCTCTGCCACCGCGTCCCCCTCGGTCAAAGCCCTTCGATCCCGGTGGGTGCACGCCGGTCCCGGGGAGGTGGCAGTCCCCCTGCTTTTGGCACGCTCGAAATGGCAGTGGCGTTGAAACCGTCTGCCTCCTCTGCCTTTGAAATGGAGAATAAAGCTGCAGCTGGAGCGGAACGGGGCCCAACAGCCAGCGCTGGAAAATCCCACCCACAACGGAATAAAAAACACGGCCCGAGGCGCGGGGCGAGCGCCGCAACCTCCTGCCCTTCGCACAGCCCCCGGCGGCAGCCGTGCCAGGGATGCTCCTGCCCTCTGAGGAGCCCTGGTCGTGCCCAGGGAGATGGGGCTGGGCAGGGAGTGAGGCCACTGCAGGGAGACCTGCGGTCCCCAGCGAGACCCAACATCTTCAAATTCCCAGCCGGGTGCAGAATTCCCCAGTGCCGGGGGTTTGAGGAGCGATGCGCCCATCTGCGCCACCCAGGTTGGGCTCATTTCAGGCAGCTTAGGGTGAAAAATAGAGTTTTTTGATTATTTGTGGTAGGAAGAAATGGAGGGGCTGTAGGGGTACAGATCTGCAGGAGGACTGGCAAACTCTCCAAAAAACCCACCTGAATTTGAGACCTTGAATGGAGCAGGTCCTCTGGAGTATTGGGACAAGCAGGGCACACCCCAGTGAGGAACTACTGGGAGCAAGAAGGGACAGGAACATCAGTAAGGATTTTTTATTTAATTTTTTTTTTTTTTTTTTTTAATCGTCACTTGTCTTGGAGATGAACCCTCTCATATGGTAGCAGCAACTCAGAGCACCTGCAGTGAGGCCACAGGCAGCTTTTTGGATGGAGGGAATTCTGCTGCAGGAAAAACAGGCTAGCCTGAGAGAAAACCTTCCCTTTCATGGGAAAATGCTGCTTGCATTGACAAAAATGCTAAAAACTGAGTTTTTTCAGAGGGTTTTACTTTAATTCACTACATCATTTCTGAAAGACACTGGGAAGCCAAAATTTCAGCATTCTAAAATTGGGATCTTTGCCAATCCCAGGATGGCTCCTGGAGAGTGCAGGAGGGTATTTATTCACCTTTCCCACAAACACACTTTTTTGTTTTTTCTTTTGGTTTTGGTTTTTTCTTTTTCTTTTTTTTTTTTTTTTTTTTTTTTTTTTTTTTTTTTTTTTTTTTTTTTTTTTTTTAGCATCCTGTAACCTTTCAGAATGACTCTAGCTTTGGAAAAATTAGAGTGGAAAACTGATAATGTTTTCTTTTGTACTTTTGCTGCTGTGTAATCTTTCCAAAGTTAGACAACTTTTGAAGTTACAGAGTGGGAAAAAAGATAGAAAAAAAAGATGCTATACATGCATGAGTGGGAAAGGGGCAGAGGTGCATTCAGTGCCTCATGCATGTTGTTCGTGGTCTTGAGTTTGAGAGTGCAGAAGGAAAAATAAATAGGAAATAAAATTCCCCCAAAAGTGAGATTCCTGGCAGAAGGCTGGGAAAGTTTCAATGATGTGATTTATGCCTGGTGGATACATCATGTTCTGAGCATTTTTAGGGGAAGGAGATGGTGTTTGGTGGATGGTCTGTACTGTTTGGGTGCTGGTTCCCACCTGTGTGCCAGGCTGGGTGCCCGTGGTGCCAGACCTGACAACTGGCACCCTGGCACCATGACTCAAAGCATCACAATGTGATTTATAACTTTGGGGGGACACCTGAAGGGAAGCTCCCAGCCATGCAGGGCCAGGACCAAGATCTGCAGATTCAGCAGACTTTTGGGTCAGCATCAGCTGTGCTGCTGCTGAGTTTCCATGCACATTGTGGCCAATGCTTGGCATCCCCCCACATCCCGTTGCTCCACTGTCACAACCTCCCAAACAACCCTCTGGGAGCCCAGTGAGGGGTGCAGGAGCCTGAGGCGAAGTGACTGGGATGCTGAACAGCCACACTCAGCTCCCCAAAAGCACAAGTGCCCCGTGGGACCCCTGGCACAGGCAGGATTGATGCTGGGTGCTGGGGTGGCCAGTGTGGCACCATGGCCAGTGCCATGGCTGCTGTAAGTGCCAGCCAGGAGCAGGGCCTGGTCCCCGTGCAATCCCTCCATCGTCCCCACCGTGGTGGGTCAGCCTCCAACCGGTGATTAATGGCCCAAGGAGGCCGTGGTGGCCGCGGGCCATGGCTAATGTCAAATAACAAATATGAATGCGGGCTGTAAATATTTATACAATGCGCAGGCACGTGCCGCCTCCCCGATGCAGAGACAAAGCTCTCCTCCTCCCGGCCGGGTGACTCACATCTCCCGGCAAAGAGCCGCCGGGGTGGCCGGGACAGGGCTCGGGACACGGCTCGGGCTGGCCGTGGCCCCTGTCCCGCGGGGCTGCAGGCTGCCTGCCCGCCCGCCGCTCGCAGGGATGTTTTGGGTCTCTGCGGAGCTCCTGGAGCACTTCTGTTCTTGGGGCTGCTGACAAGCAGTCTTTTAAAGGCAGCTGAGAGCTTTGAAGCCTCACACTCCTCCTGAGGGGGTAGAGGGAAGCTGGAGGGACTCTCAGGTCCCCCTTCCCCAGGGAGAAGCTTTCTATCCCCGTGAGAGGAGGTGGAGGAAAATCCCTCCAGGAGCAGCGCTGATGCTCCCCACGTGGAGCTGGAGCCTGGGCTGCTCTGGGAGCCCTGCCCATACCTGCAGGCCTGGGTGATGCTCAGCCCTGCCTGCCCCTCAGCAGCCTACTCTCCAGGCACTGGCAGTCATGGAGGGGATGTGCCCGCTTCAGGGCACCGCATCTCCCTGACTGCCAGAGCAGGGAAGGCAGTGAGAGCCAGCTGAACAGCCTTTTGCTCACAAACCACCACTCCATGTGCTTGAGGCTTCTCCATTTCTCAAATACCATTAAAACCTCCACTCCCACAGCCTTCTGTCACAGCAAACCCTTGGGCATTGCTGTGTGAGGCCATTGGCAGCGCGTGGAGCTCTGGATGTGATGCCCTGGGTACCACGACACTGCATCCCAGAGAAGGGAGTTGAGGTGCAAAGGGGGGTGGGGATGATGCAAATTTTGTCCGCGTCCCCAAGGAAGCCTTGATGTTTTTCCCAGTTCTCCCTCCTGCTTCTCACTCCTGGCTCACAGGTTTTTTTAGTGTGGTCCCTGCTAATTTGTGCACATTCCTTGGCGCCTAAGAATAGAAAGTGATGACGATTATTTGGGTGCCTGGTCGGCTCAGGAAACAGCTAATTGGAGACAGAGACTTTTACCTCTGCCTGGGCTGGCTCCAGCCTGGACTAGGAGTGCCGGAGCAGCATTTCCTATCATCAGACACGTGAAAGGACCAGGGAGTCTCAGGGTGATGTGTCCAAGAGGGGACACAGGTTGTGCTGTTTGGGAGTAGACCCAGTGATTCGCCATGTCCAGAGCTCCTCATTAGGGCTGATTGAGGAGCCAGAGGCTGCTGGGATCCGTCACCTGGGGTGGTGGCTGCCGTGGGGACACGGGTAGAGGTCCTAGGCTCTCCCCTTTGCTCCCTCACCTCTCTTCTTGCAGATGTTGACGAGTGTGTGGAGGGCACCGACAACTGCCACATCGATGCCATCTGCCAGAACACCCCCAAGTCCTACAAGTGCATCTGCAAGTCCGGCTACACCGGGGATGGGAAGCACTGCAAAGGTAGGGACACGCCGCTGGCAGAGCTGGAGTCCTGCTGGCGAGTGACAGCCCCAGCAGGTCGGAGGCCAGCAGTAGCTTGTCAACACTGGCCTATGCAAAAAAGCCACTTGTTCACCCTGGCCCATTGCAAACCTTCTATCCCCCTTTTCTGCCCCAAACTCCTGGCCTGTTGACAGTGCATGGGAACAGAGAGGACTCTGTCCTTGCTGGTGATGCTGGCAGCCGTTGTTCTGACATGGTTGGGGCTGCCCATGAAGAGTCACATGGGGCTTATTTTAAACAAAACTGGGCTGATTTTCCTGCAAGATTTCTGACCCTGAGGCTACAGATCTGTGTTAGCAGTAAAAACACAAACTTAAAAATAAGACATACAGAGATATAGATGATGTAGATATCAATTTAGATGTCAATCTAGGTGTAAATCTAGATATTGGTAGAGGTATATATCTGTATATAGATGCAACTGAGTGGGGGATGGAAACAGAATGGGCTCCTTGGGGCAGCAAGGATTGGAGCAGGGGAAAAATTCCCAGCTGGAAGCAGGTTCAGGGTCAGGATGGGCCGAGTACAAATAGCAGGATTAAAGCGCTCCAGGCACTGCAGGGCTTTGCCATGGAGACAGGCTGCTCTGCCAGCACCCTGGGAAATCCCAGGAGGTTCCCAGCACTGTGTACCAAGCTAAAGCTGTAAGACACTGGGTTAGCTGGGGTTCCAGCATCCAGACTTGGGAGAGTGGGGATGGTATTGTAGAGTCTGGAGGGATGCTGCAGGTGATAATGGAACTGAGGAGCTGCTGCTGGAGTAGGCACAGAGAGCAGAGGACCTCAGGGCACATTACCAGCAGGGTGGCAAAGATGCTGGAGATGGGGAGCAGCACCCGTGGTGGGCAGCAGCCAGGGCAGCCCTGCAGCTCTCCCACCCTTCTCCTCCGCAGATGTTGACGAGTGTGAGCGGGAGGACAATGCAGGCTGCGTGCACGAGTGCGTCAACATCCCCGGCAACTACCGCTGCACCTGCTACGACGGCTTCCGCCTGGCACACGACGGCCACAACTGCTTAGGTGAGGGATGTTGGCACCCTGCAGCTCCTCAGCTGCTCCAGCACCTTAGGACCGACCTGCTGGCTTTCTTCACTGGGCACTTCCCAGGACCTGACACCCCCAGATCTGCTGTAGAGCCATGGACCCACGGTGGCACTCCCAGGACACTGAGCCAGCTGCAGGCATGTCCTGTGCTGCAGTGGCTCGCTGGGGACAGGATTGCTCCCCATTACATCGGGATGTTGCCAAGGGAGGAAAACTCACTCTGTGGGTCCATCTGTAGACTGAGAGGGTTGGGGAGAGGCAAAAGTGAGAGAGTTGGGTTTGGAGTTGTTAGGGTGAGGAACAGGCTCCCCACAGCCGCATCCTGCTGCAGCAAGCCGCCGGGCCAGCAGCTCTGTGCCACTGCCGAGGGCAGGACCAGCTCACCCGAGCCCTGCCACTCGCTCCGCTCGTGCTTGAGGTCAGCCCTGCACCTGCCAAAATAGATGAGTTAATAGCAAATATGGTGGGGATGGGAACCAGCGAAGGGACTGGATAAATAATCCCCGGGCCAAGACAAACCCGGCATCTGCCTACGGAGCGGCCGTGCATCCTCCCTGCTACTTCCCACCGCCCCAAACTCCATCCGGCCGCGGCGGAGCCAAAGCTCCCGTCAGAGCCCCGGGGCCCATCGAGCTGCCCGCGCCCATCACCCGCTTCCTCCCGCGGCATCCGCGGTGGGAGCTCCGGGGCACGGGGCCGCCCGCCTCCCCTCTGCCTGGAGCTCATGCTATTTTCCAATTAGTGTCTGCAGAGGGGTCATTAATGAGCTCATCACTGGGAGGAGGAGGAGGGGGAAGGGATTATGGACACATACGCTTTGCATTAACCACCATCACCGGGATCTTTTTAGCCTCCTCGGGGAGGGGGGAGATTTACACAGCTGGGAGGAGGCGCGGGCGGGCGGCTGGCTCTGCCTTCCTCTCCCGGGGGAGGATGAGCCCGAAGAGAAGAAAGGAAAGCTGGACGTCATGTGTTTACAGAGTTGGGTGGGAGGGGATGGAGATAGCTGGGGAGCAGCCGGCCAAGCAGGGATCTGGGGGGAGCATGTTGGCTCCCACCTTGAGCCCTGCCTTAGCTCATCCCAGCATCTCATTCTGATCCCAATGTGCTTTGTCCAACCTGCCTGCATCCCCTTTTAGTCAAAAGAAAGAGAAGCAGAGAAAAGCAGCATGTTGTGCCAGGCTTTGTCAGTGCCATGGGCAAGAGCTGAGCTGGGGAGGGATCAGGGTATGTGCCCACCGGCCCCTCCATTGCCCATCCTGGGTGACCTTTTGAACCAGGACAGGAATTCAAGCCCCCGTCCTGACAAAGGCCCTGCTGGCTTCTGCCCATCTCCGTTGCCTTTAATAAAACAGGTATTAGAGAAGTGGAGTCTCATTTCAGCCATCGGGTTTGAACGGCTGCCTCCTCATTTTTGAGCAGAGCTGGAAGGAGAAGTTGCAAGACATTAAGCCCTTGTTCTAAGCAGGGGGATTTGAGGAGGGTTATTGGCATCTGCAGGACATGGCTTGGCTGGGATGAGCATTGGAGGAAGCCGTGGGCTTCCTGCCATTGCAGAGGATGTCCCTTTATGCCTGGCTGCATAAAGTGAGCCCACTCACTGCCCTGTGGGTGAGGAGGTGTTTTCAACACCTCCTTTCCAAGGCAGCAAGTTTGTGGGGTGCTCCTGGGCTCCACTGCCTGGCCACTTCCAGCTAGAGCTGCAGCCCCACTTTGATAATTCTGAGTGAATCCTCAGGACTTGCCAGGGGCTGGGGCACAGTGCAAGGCACCCACACTGCTCGGGCATCCGCGTGTCCATCCATTTTGCCCAAAAGCAAGGGGTTTGGGTGTGTGCTGTGCTGTCTGGGGAGGGGGCCGGTGCTGGGAGCCCTGGCGCGTGCCGTCACTGAGCCGCTATTCCGGCGTTTCCGGTGGGCGATGCTGGCGGGGCTCAGTTTTCCCCTCAGCTGTGGCTCTGCAATGCTCGAGTTCACAGGACGTTTTCTTTGGCATGGGGCCCCTCGCTTCCCAGCCCGACACCATCACCCAGCACCGCGGGCAGAGGGGGCAAGGGGTGGCCACGGCACAGATTTGTCTCTGCCCGAGCCTGGCATCCTGGTTGCTCTGGCACCTCAAGGCACTGGTGAGTTCAGCTTGGACCATTGTCCCCAAAAAGCCTCTAGAGAGAGCAATGGGCAGTTACTCTTCATTAAATGCAGGTTTTGCAGGGCTGGAGCAGCAGCAGCCTGGGGCGAGGGCATTGCTGCTGCCACAGGGCCACATCTTGGCCCCTTGCTGCCTTGGCTTGTTAAACCAAAACAGGTGTGAGGGCAGCCAAGCTGCAGAGCAGGGGATGTGAGTCTCCTTACAAGTAATTATCCCTGCTCTGGGCTAAGGTTTCCCAGCTCCTCTTAATGAAGTGCAGGCATCCCCAGCTGGCAACAGGCTCTGAGGGGCTGGGATCAGGGGCTGGCTGTAGCCAGGATGACATCCTGGATGTTTTGGGTTTTCTGGGACAAGGAAAACCCCTTTCTTCTGTGGTCTGGTGTTCTGTTCCCCTCAGTAAAATGAGGCCATCAGTCAGGGAAGCTGTATGATCCCTGCACCCACTCCTGCTGTGCTTTGTAAAGCATTCCCCTTTCTTCCAGCTGGGGGGAAGCAGGTCACTCACTGCCCGGCAGATCTGTCCCACCCAGTCCCCATCCCCTTGGTGTGCCAAGGAGCTGTGCTCACCCTCTGCCACCTTCTCTCTGCAGACCTGGACGAGTGCTCAGAGGGCAACGGCGGCTGCCAGCAAACCTGTGTCAACATGATGGGCAGCTACGAGTGCTTCTGCAGGGAGGGCTTCTTCCTCAGTGACAACCAGCACACCTGCATCCAGCGCCCTGAAGGTCAGTGCTCAGCACTTCTTCCCCACCCTGGGGCACCCGCCATCCCTGCCTTTATCAGGCAGGTCTGTCCTCTGTCACCTCTGGCCACTCCTGCCTGGGTTTAGGTGCTGCTGCTGGGTTCTTGGTGTGGCAGATTTGAAGGTGAATCTGTGGCAGGTGTGTTGGGAGAAGTGATAAATGTCCTGCAGCAAAACCCTCACATGTCTCTTGTCCAGGCACAGCAATACTGAGCCGGGGACATTAATCCTATGCCCAGAGCAATTTATTGATAAATGGAAGGACCTGGAGGTCCTCACACCATCTTAGGAGACACATCTTTCCCTGCCAGGTCTTGCACAGCACCGAGCCCTTTGTCTCAATACGAACTCTAAATTGTTGCAATCTGGAGCAATCTCTTAGCCAAAATAGGAGGAAATGAGAGATTTTTTGCGTCTCTGCTGATTTTTATCTCTGCTGCTTGGCAAAGCCAGCTGAGTGTTTTTGCTTTCCTCCTTCCCAGCTGTGTTGGTCACTCCAGCTCCCCAGGAATCTCACCCTGCCCAGGACAGCTGAGCAGCTGCAGTGGCATCTCCTGTGTCCCCATCCCTTGCATGTCCAAGAGAGATGAGCTGGCTGCTCCTTCCTGCTGGTGCCACAGTGGGTGGTCCCTGCTGGGGACAGGGATGCAGGTGCTGGGTCTTGAGCTCAGTAGGGTTTAAATCCACCAAGAGATGTGGGAGCAGGGTCTATCAACCAAGGCAGGAGGGAATCAAAGGTTGAAGGCTCCCAGGTGGTTTTGTCCACCTTCCCAAGCAGCTCTGTGCCAGGATCTGGCCAGGGTTATCCTTTCCCCACAAGTTTCTCATTGACAAGGTTTCCCCCCATTGCCATCAATTCTCCATCCCATCCCACCTCAGACGTCCCTCTGCCACTGCTGACCAGTGCCAGCAGCTTTTGGAGCATTTCTTTGCTTCCTTTTCTCTTTTAGAAGGCATGAACTGCATGAACAAGAACCATGGCTGTGCCCACATCTGCCGGGAGACCCCCAAAGGGGGCATCGCCTGCGAGTGCCGCCCCGGCTTCGAGCTCACCAAGAACCAGCGTGACTGCAAACGTAAGGAACACTCCAGGGCTGGGGCTACAACCTCCCAAGGACCCCCCAACCCTGTCCCCATGGCACAGACACCTCCTGCCCCTGCAGCAAAGCCCTGACCCCTGGTAGCAGTTGGTTCATTGAGCCTGAAGGTCAGCATGCTCAGCTCTGCCTCTGTTGCCCTTACAGACAATGCTTCTGGCAGCCCCTTTTACTGTGGGATGTTGTGTCCTTACATGACCAGGCTGAAATGGCAGTTCAAGGGGGTCCCAGGGGCTCAGCATCCCCTGTTCTTGTCCCAGTGTTTCACTTTCCAAAGGGGAGGTGAACAAGGAGAGTGCAATTGGCATGTGAGGAGTGCAGGAATCCTCTCCCTCAGGGTTGTGGTGCTCTCAGCCTCTCTGATCTCCTGCCAGCATCCCACTGGCAGTGCCAGGGTTATTAAATAGATATGTGTGTATTTATGCAATTATTTTTATTTTGTTTCTCATTTGCTGTGTGCAGCAAATATGTAAAATTGCTGATGAAATGAAGGTTTAATCCTAATCTAAATTTACAGCACACCTTGCCCCCTGGGGAGGGCTGGCAGGGATTCCCAAAAGCTCCTGTGTCATTCCAGAGCTCAGGAAAGTTTCACCCTTCCCCTGTAGCACTGGATTCAGGGTCAATCAGACCACCAATCCCCTTTGCTTGGACTCCACTGGTGGCATTTAGCAGATATGAAGAGGGAAGACATGAGAAACCACATAACATCCTGCATCTGCTATGATCCCACAGGGAAAGTGAAGGGCTTTAGGAATTATCTGTGAGGGAAGGAGGAAGGAAGGAAGGGAAGGAGGGAGGGAAGTCTCTGAGGGTACAAATGAGGTGTTTCCAAACCAGCTTTATGTGCTACATGTGGATGCTAGGCAGGGAAGAGGAGCTGGGGCCACGGTGACACTGGTGCTTTGTCCCCACAGTGACCTGCAACTACGGGAACGGGGGCTGCCAGCACACGTGCGATGACACCGACCAGGGGCCCAAGTGCGGCTGCCACGTCAAGTTCCTGCTGCACTCGGACGGGGTGACGTGCATAGGTAGGTCAGGCCATCACCCACACGTGGGTTGGGGCGTGGGATGGTTGCTCTTCCTCCCTGGCTGATTTGTCCTTGGCCTGCTGAAGGGTTTTTCCCAAGCCTTGGGCGTGCGGCGATTTCCTTTTGCTGAGACCAGGGAAGCTCAGCACATGTGTGAGGGATGGTGCAGTACCTGGGGGTGCAGGGATGTGTCTGCACAGCCACAGGGAACAGAAGTGATCTTGGTGGTGCTTGAGGGGACACCTGGGGACAGGCAGGGGTCTCTGCCTGCTTCTGTGCTGCTGAAGAGAGAGCTGTGAGGATGCCCTCGTGCTGGGAATTGTTACTGTCGCTGTCACTGGCAGCTTTTGAGGAGGGATGTGGAGGAGGCAGGTTTGCCCACAGCAATCTGTTACAGCTTGGTATTGTGGGGCCTTGGCTCAGGAACAATTGTCTTGCAGAAAAAAAATACAAAACCAAAACCCCAACAACCTGACAACTCAACCAGCCCCAGAATTGTCCTTTTCCTGTGTGTGTTTTCAAATTGTAAAACATCAAGCAGAGATAGAAGTTTTACTGGTTTCATATGCTTGTGCTGTTTAACAGCTGCTTTGATTTAAAAAATGTTATATTTGGGGAGTGATTAAGTCCACAATTGCTTGAGACATTTGAGTTCTTACTGCAAAATGAAAAAGAAAAAGGAACTGGAAGCAAGAGAGGTTTTGGCTCCCCGTGTCCCTGCTGTGCCTGAACAGAAAACTCTTCGTGCTTTCCACAGACGGCTCTGTCCTAAGGGCAGAGGATCCCCCCTGAGCCCCTGGCTGCTCCCTGCCAGCTTGAGGGGTGTTTGGGGCTGAGACCCCAGCAAAGCCCTCCTCCCCATCAGCTCACTGCTGTTTAATGTCACTGCTGTTCCCCAGTCTGCTCCCAGGGTGGATCCCAATCCCTCCTGGCTGCTGGCAGGCGCTCACAGCCCTGGTCCCCGCCGTTCTCGTGTTTGTTCCCGCAGCCATTGCGTCCTGTCCCACCTCTGAGGACCCTCCCAGGGGGTTGTTGCTGTGCCTGGGTGGGGAGCTCTCCTCCAACAGGGAGCTCAGGACCCCGGGTATGTCAGCTGGTGGGTTCCTCCTGGATGAGGGGCCCTGCGTGCGGTGTCTGACTTGGGCAGCTGTGGGACCAAGGATGCCCCTGACCTGTTTGGTGTGGGGGTGAGAGTGCAGCTCTCCAAAACATCTCATGATCTGGGGGATGCTTCAGAACAGTCTGTTTTGGGGTTGGTCTCTGCACTCAGACCCTGGGTACCACAGGTGTGAGGGTGGGATTTGGGGTTTTCAAAAATCACTCATCCTCTTGTCCTTGGCCAAAGTCTCCCTCTTTGTCCCTATGCCCTGCATTGTACCTGCTGGGGCAGCATCTCCCACCAGAGCCAGCACATCCCTGTGAGCTCTCCCCTTGTCCACCTTTCCAGGGGAAATCAAACACTGCACTAGAGGATTTTAGGAGCAGCACCAGCCCAAAGCTCACCACCACACCACGCCTGTCTCATGCCTTTGGGCTCTGCAATCCCCTCTCACAGGAAGGGGCCTGCCCAGCTCCTGCACTCCCTGGGGGATTCCTGATCCCCAGTCCCACCGTGGGAACACCAAGGGGTTGTGCTCGAGCCACTGGGAGCCAGCAGCCACCCCTCAGGGATGCCCGGCCAGCAGATTTACAGCCGAGGTACCTGCTCGCATATTTATAATCACCCTTTCTTGTTTTATGGCTCGGGCACAGCAAACAGCCCTCCCCTACCCACACTGCCCCCTTCACCGCCCCTTCCCCATTTCCTCCAAAATATTTCATCATTTCAAGGGGAATAAAGTTTCCAGTGAGGGGAAACGCAAAGTCGTTCCCCGGGCCATGGGCTTTGAAATTGAACGCGGTGCGTTTGATGGGCTGCCGGGACAGGCCCCTGGTCCAGGTTCCCTTCAGATCACACCACGCGGCAGGAAGCACGATCAGCCCCTCTGAGTGACAGTTTCATTAGGCCACGGCCGGTGTTTTTCATTTTTCTGCTTTTTATTGCTGCTTTTAAAAATGCAGATAATGAGGAACATGCCTCTAAGCACAGGGACCATCACTAATGGCTCCCAACATGTCTGCAGGCACGAGGGGGAGGGGGAGCCGGGACGGGAAGCCAATGACCTTATATATTTATATTTATGCTCCGAAAGCAGCCTTTAAAAAAAAAAAAAGAATTAGAAAAAGCACATAAAACAGTCCTCCAGCAGCCAAGGGTGCAGTGCCCGCAGGGAGATGCAAAAACAGCTGTCACAGTGATGCAGATTTTGGCTTTCCAGGAAGATTTACTAGCCAGGGCATCATTGCAGCTGCCTCCCACCTATATTTGGGGTGCAGCAGGCCTATTGCTGGACCCCTACTTGTGGCAAGCACTGGTGGAGCGGGAGGGGGTGGACGGGGAAGAAGTATGGTTAGATGGAGAAGGAAACTAAACCCAGCTCAAGTTTTATGGCTGATTTCCTGACCCACGCCTAGGCGGTTTGTGGCGGTCCCGCCGACGCTCCCCGGCTTTGTGGGGCTGGCGGTGCTGGGAGCAGTGTCGGGAGCTCTGGACCCACAGCCAGGGTGCACTGACCCACGGGTGAGGCTGAGCAGCCCAAACACACCCAGGGTTTGGGCTCACTGCTGGCTTGGCTGCTAAATCCAAGGGGTGCAAGTGCCACAGGCGGGATGTGGTTGCTTTCCCAAAGGCCATGGCTGCGCAGTGTCCGTGTGGCTCTGCTCAGGGATCACCACCTGCCCTGGCATGTGCTGGTTTTGTTCATAGTCAGGGTGAGGACCTGGTTCTCCAGACTAACAGGCTGCACTAACGCTCCTCACAACGCGCTTCTCCCGCTCGCATGGGGCTCCAACCAGCCCAGCACAGCTGGAGGGGTTTGGAGAGGCTGAGGGACAAGGAATGCTTGGGAGGTGGGAGAGAAAAAGCCCAAAGGGACAGTTTCCACCAGGCTGGAAATGCAGCAGAGTTGAACCCATTGATGTGTGACACCAACCAAGTTCCCTGCTGGACACTGTTTCTAAATCACTTTTTTATAATGTTAAACAGGGGAGAGACACTTCCAGCAACACGTTATCCTTGAGACGTTTTCTAATGGTAAATATTTTTGTTCTCTCTATCTCTACGAAGGGGTCTAACCGTAGATGGTCTCTCCTCTGGAGATCATAGCGGGGCTCGGGGGCTGAGCTGCTGCGCTAACCGCATGTCTCACTAACCCTGCCCCGCTGCTGCTTCCACACCCCGCCAGGCCAGCCTGGGGCTGGGCTGGGTGACAGAGCAGGGAACCCTCCCCCTGCTGTGCTTGCATGAGACGGGGCTCTCACACTGCTTTGGTGGATCCAGCCCAGTGCCAGGGGTGGCAATCTGCTTTCCAGTGGCTGTGGCAGTGGTTACACACCCAGGAGGAGCACACAGTGGGCTGCCAGCAGCACTGCGTGGTGGGGAGGGGGATGCTTGTGCCCATCTCTGTGCTGTGCACTCCCAGTTACTCTTTCTAGAGCCCACCCTCTCAAGGATGGTCCCCGCTGTGACTTTCAGGGTGTCTCAGGGTTTGGCCTTGCCACTCACAGTGGCTCTCAGCCCAGAGCTGCAGCAATGGCAGAGCTGCAATGGGCCCTTTACAGGGCTGGGCACCTCCCCAGGGATTTTTTTGCATCCCCATGGGGGTCTCCAAGCCCTTCACAAAGGTAAGGTGATGCCTCTGCTCTGCCACCAAGGAAACCGAGGCAGAAGGTGCAGCAACTTGTTTGTGGTGGGGAATCTTGTTCCTGGATGTGCTGGGTGCAGGCAAACTCCTGGCACATCCAGGAGCTATGGGAGCTCAGCTCACCAGCACAGGGAGCACAGACTGCAGCTTTTGGGGGGCTCTGAAGAGCCTTTCACATAAGGGTGGGAGAAGGAGGGACCCCATATCTGCATCATCACCACACTCCAGCCAGCCCAGTGGTTACCCCTCTGGCTCATGGGCTTACATCCTGCTGAGATTATCACTTCTCAGAAGGTGGAGGTGAGGCCAGAGTGTCGCCAACATTGAGGGTGCTGAGCAGGCTGAAGAGTGCCATGGCACAGCATTTGGACAGTGAGACCAGAGCTGGGATGGAGGAGGGTGGGAATGAATCTGAGTGTGTGTATGTGTGTGAAGCTTTGTCCTCTCCCTGCCTGAGCGATGGAGGCCTCACCAAAGCCCTGTGTGGCTGGTGAGTCACGCCAGGCTGGGAGCAGCCCTGGGCTGCCAGCTCCGCCGAACAATTGCTGCTCCCCAGGGCAATCCAGAGCCCAGCCCCATGCTGCCAGCTTTCACTGCCTCACAGGTACCCCATCAGCCCCCTCCAAGCTTTCTGCAAACCCAGAACAGGGTCCCCTCCTTCACAGAGGGGTTTGCAGTGGTGCTCAGGCTGTGCTAACTGAGCTTATGCCCACCCTGGGCAGCTGCCCTGGGATGGTGGGTGGGACTGGCTTTAATCTCAGGTGAAATTCCCAAAAGTGCAAATCGGCCAGGAAGGGTGCCACAGTGCTGGAGGAGGCTGTGAACACGATGACAGTATGCCCAGGGCACCACATTCTCTGGAGGGCTCCATCCTCCCTGCTGCAGCTGCTTCTCCAGCTCCATCCTGCTGGCAGCAGCACCTGAGCCAAACCAATCGTCTCATCTCAGTGGTGACCCTGTTAAATCAATCCTCCCCGGGCTGCTTCTGCATCAGCTGCTGGAACAAAGGCTGGCGTTAAACAAATGATTCACTGGGCTTTCAGAAAGTTTCCCTTCCCTTGGGGCGGTGTCACCCACCCCGTGTCCCCTGCACCACAGGGAGGGGGATGGCCCTGGCACGGCTGGGCCGCGTGAAGCGCGAGGACCGGGCTGGAGGAATAATATCTGCAGAAATCCTTCCCCTGCCGTTAGGTTTTGTAATTGTGCTGGCGATTAATTTCATAAAATGGTCCCTTTTGTTCTCTTATTATGGGACATCATAAAAATAGCAGTGGCAAGACGAGCACAGAGCGATCCCAGCTCCTGGGCCCCGCGGCAAATGGTTGGATGGTTCAGTCATTCCTACCCCATGTGGCGCTTGCAAAGAGCAGGAGAACCTGGGATTTGCTCTTTCCAAGGAATTTCTTCAAGGCATTTTCATCTTGGGTTCCTTGAAGCCCAAATGCCTCATTTATCCAAGCAACCAGCCTTCTGAAAGGAATATTTTATTATCCTTTGTGAACAACTTAATGCACTTCAAACCATTGTTCTGGTGGTTAGGGTTGAAATTGAGGATTGATCTCACAGGGAAGCTGTCAAGCTGAAAATGCTTCATTTAAATTAGTGTCCCTTCTAGTCCTACCAGCAACAGCTGACTTTGATAATACTGAAATAATTAGCTTTTTTTTTTTTTCAATTGGATTTTTTTTCCACTGATGCTGCCTGCCTCTGAGTGTGTGTTTTAATTATATGATGTGTCTCCCAAATTAGCCTGAGACACTGGACCAGCCACCATGCCTGAGCAGTGGGTGACAGTCAGGGACTGACAGCACAGGGTCACCCGTGGCTTTGTGGCTCGGTAGCTTGATGGCAGCGAGGAGGACAGGACCCCCCTGTCATCCCACTGGGGGACTGGGGCTGTGCACCCACACCCCTGGGAGCTGCAGCCTGGGAACTCCTGGCAGGACCTGTGTCTGGTTGCTTTTGCACAAGTGCTATGGCTTCGTCCCTGGGAATTTGAATTCCTCCTCTTGGGAGCTGCCGAAGGTGGCCTCCACGAGGCCCTGTTTGTGGGGCACGCCAGCCCCCATGTGTTCATTATTTCACGGCCCTGTGGCCTCGTTGCTCTTGTGTGAGAGCCAAGGGTGGTGCCTATGGGCTCTGCAGGGAGGTTTGTACCCGCTGCCACTCCCAGGCTGTGGCACGGGGGACATCTGGGTGTCGTGACTCCCCCAGCCTTTTGAACACCCGTGCCTCACCCCAGCCTTTCTCTCCCCTTCCCATGCAGAGACGTGTGCTGTGAACAACGGGGGCTGTGACAGCAAGTGCCACGACGCGGCCACCGGCGTCCACTGCAGCTGCCCCATGGGCTTCATGCTCCAGCCCGACAGGAAGACGTGCAAAGGTAGGTGGGGTGAGTGGGGCTGGGGCACTCACTGCTCACCCCTGGGTGCCTCAGACCCCCATTGTGTCCTCAATGCCCTCAGAAAAGGCTCAGATTTAGCTCAGCTCGACATTGCTCCCAGTGCTCACTGGCTTGGTGTTTGCAGCCATGGGGTGGGGACAGGAATCACCGCCCTGCACGGGAACTGGGATGCCTTGCTGCAGGCACCGTGCTTGGCCCCACACCCCTGGGAAGCCTCTGGGGAGGAGGAAAAGGGGGTCAGGTCAAGTTTGAAGCAGTGGCATAGCTGTGGGGTTGTCCCATCTCACTCCACCCCACTGCCTCGGGTGCCCCAGGGGAAGGGCTGGATGTGCAGGGAGTCCACACCTGCTCTGGGAGTTTGAGATGCACAGGTCCCTCTTGGGACACTGCCCAGCCAGGTCTGAGCACCATGTCCCACCTGGGGGAGAACACCCCGAGATGCTGCACGTCCCACCAACATCCCCACCCACCTGTCTCTGACAGGCAGAGCAGTCCAGGCTGCTTTCCCTGCACCCCAAACTTGCCCCCCTAGGGCTGGCCGGTGCCTGTGTTGTGTCTTTTGGCAGCTCTCAGAACTTGACCCCAGCTGAAAGGAAAGCCTGTCCCACTGCTGGCTGCCTGTCTACCTGTTGACTGCTTCCAGAACCCCTTGTCCCTGGTATTTTATCAGAGCATCCACCCCTCTCCAGTTCTGCAGTTTCCAGCGATGTGCAATAACCCAGAACCATGTCCCTGTGTCTGGGGTTTTATTATGGCTGCAGGCAGGTTTACAGCTTGCCCTCTCACAGTCATAAAAAGAAAGCCTCAGCCCCAGAGAGGCAGAGCTGCTGCCCCAGCACTGGGGGATGGAGGGACAGGGCAGGCTGCTGCCTCCTCCTGGTCTCCTTCCATTTCACAAGTTGTTTCCTAGCACTAAATTTTGTGATTAGTGGAAAAACCGGCCACATCAGCCATGTTCCTCTGCTGACCATCTGAGCCCAAAGGGTTTCCTCCATTTGCCAGCTCATGGTGGGGACAGCATCCAGAGGGGAGCACTGGGCTCTCCTGGCCAAGCATCCCAGCCAGGGCATGACCCTTGGGTGTCCCTTGTCCCCACCAGACATTGACGAGTGCCGGCTCAACAACGGCGGCTGTGACCACATCTGCAGGAACACGGTGGGCAGCTTCGAGTGCAGCTGCAAGAAGGGCTACAAGCTGCTCATAAACGAGAGGAACTGCCAAGGTAAGGGGCAGTGGGTGCCCAGGCCCCCTGCCCTGCCCCTCCCTTGGCTGCTGCAGCAGAAGTGCTGCCCCGGCTGCTCATTCCTCTGGCCCTTCCTGTGGGCTGCATACATCCTTCAGGGGATTAGTGTTGGATTCAGGCTCTGGTTTGGGGCTTAGCCCTTCAGCCTCAGAGCAGGGGACTTGTGGGCTCTTGCAGAGTCAAAGCCAGCAATTAGGCAGATTCCAGGGTTCCCAGTTCCTGGAGGGCAGGAATGGGGAGAAGATGCCTCCTGCTTACTCCAGAGGGAGCTGGCTGCTCCATGCTGCTTCCTCCACCTTTTTCTCCCTGTCCAAACATCTTTCTGCACATCTCACATAAGCCCAGCAGGTCACTGTGCTGCCCCCGCAGCCCATGGCCAAGGTCAGCACGGCAGGTGTGCATCAGCCTGAGTGCTGGCCGGGGAAGGAGGGGGCTGGCAGGCTCCGGGGCTGCCACTGCTTTCATCTCCGTCCAGGTTCTGTGCTCTGGGAGTTTGACGTGAGTGCAGCAATTAACTTAATGGAGCCAATGAAATGATGCTCCAGCCCACCAGGTTGGGTTCACCTCCCAGCCAGGGCCTCCTGCCCCAGCGAGGCCCCCGCGCCCAGAACACACAGCGCGCACACCCCCCGAAGCAAGAACCGCCCACAAAACAATCCCGAACCCCTCCCGGCAACCCCCCGGGCCCCCCCCGCCCCGCAACGGCAACAACCAAGGGCCCCTGCAACCCTCCCCATGCCAGGGACAGGATGGTGGCCCTGTTTGGCCCGTGTGAGGTGCAGAGGGGCTGTAGGAGCTTGTGGTAGGGGGGTGCTGGTGCAGTGGGTGAGGAGGAGCTTGAGGGGAGGGAGGAGGAAGCACAGAACCCTGGAGCATACTGGTGTTGGATCTCTGGAGCATCCTGAATACCCAGAATTGTATTGAATGGTACTGAATGCCCAGAATTGTATTGAATGGCACTGAATGCCCAGAATTGTATTGAATGGTACTGAATGCCCAGAGCAATCTGGTTCGGGACCCTTGGAGGATACCAGTGCAGGGTTCCACAGCATCCCAGCACTGTCCTCAGCTTGCTGGAGCAGGAAGGGGACAGTCCTGTGCCCAGGATGGCCCCTCTGCCGTGCCAGTTCTCACCTCCTCCCCTTGCCTTTCCTCCAGACATCGACGAATGCTCCTTTGACCGGACCTGCGACCACCTCTGCATCAACACCCCCGGCAGCTTCCAGTGCCTGTGCCACAAGGGCTACACGCTCTACGGGCTCACCCACTGCGGAGGTAGGGCCAGCTGGGTGCTGGCAGCCTGTCACCCCGCCGGGCTCGGGTCCCACGGAGGCGCACGGGGTGGGGCAGCCCCGCGGTGCGGCTGATGTGGGACCCCTGGGGACACTGCCCACCCCAAGGGCCCGTGGGGAAGGTCGGTTCCACGCATACCCCGGGCTGAGACCAGGCAGGGACGGGGCTCGCAGCCAGGCTCGCCGGTGTCTGCAACTTCAAACAGAGCGACAGGAACAATTTGCGACTTGTCTGCAGCGGGAGAGAGGGAGAAATCCCCGGCGTTTTTGGCAGGGAGCTGTGACGGGGTGGGAAGGGGAACATCAAAAGGGTTTGATTTAAATTTCACAAGGCAGATAGCTCCCAAGGGCGGGGGCGTGGTGCGCCCGGGAAGCGGGGAGGTGGATGAAACATGCTTTGCAGGGGCTGCCGGAGCGTGTTGTGGCAGCGGTGCCGGCGGCCCGGGATGACGAGCCCGGGTGCTCCGGTGCTGCCCGGCTGGCGAGGGTCAGCGACCCTCCTCAAATTTTCCATGTCATCTCCTTCTGCTGCCTCCTCAGCCCACGAAGGGCTGGGGCTGGGCTCAGCCTGGATGGGCTGCACCCATCCCTGCCTAGCCCTTGGGGACACCAGGAGTCGGGCTGTCCCTTATCCCCATGGAGCTGGCACAGCTGCGGGGAGGTGGCACTGCTGGAAATGCCCTGAGGTGCAGACCCCCTGTCCCAGCTGGGCTTGGATTTATCCATCCAGAATCCCAGCCCTGAGAAAATGCAGTGATTCAGTGTCAGAGCCGAGGGGTCCCACTGCCCCTCACCCACTGCCCCTTCTTTTGTCCCCACAGACATTGATGAGTGCAGCATCAACCGGGGTGGCTGCAAATTTGGCTGCATCAACACCCCTGGCAGCTACCAGTGTACCTGTCCTGCTGGCTGCAAGCTGCACTGGAACAAGAAGGACTGTGTGGGTACGTCAGGCCAGGAGCCAGCACGGCTGCTGGAGGAGCTGGGGGCTTTGGGATGCCAGGCTGGGTCCCTGTGCTACTCTCTGGCACCCTCTCCTCCCCGTGAATCCCCCATGAGCTGGAGGGTGCAGGAGTCCCTCGTGGGTCTCTGAGATGTGCCAGCCATGGGCATCCCTGATTGTCATCACCAGCTGGTGCTTGTCCCTTGGAGCTGGTGAAGTGCCTGCCAGGTTCGGTGCCACCACGGGCCACCCTCACCTGCAACAAGATGGGCAAGAAGGACAGCTGTGCCCTTTCCTGCACCTCCAAGGCCCGATTTCTGCCAGGTACCAGCGCTAGTGCCACCACCAGCATGAGCAGGGGGGTCCCCATTTCCCTGCATGGCCCAAACTGAGGGGAGAAGAGTGGCTACACAGCCAGAGTGCAGTGGCTGAGGGAGGGAGGGAGGCTGTTGCTTAGGAGGGCTCATTGTTGGGTGTAGATCCATGGGACAGGTCACTGGTGCAGGATCTCTATGGCAGGGTGCTGGGCATCATCCCCCCACAGCACAGCCATGTCTGCCTGCATCACCCTGGCAGAGCCAACTCCCCTTACTCCCTCACAGAGTCTGACAGCAGCTACACAGTGAGCTGTGGGACCCCCATCCTGCGGCAGGGCGGCCAGCACAGACCCACCAACAGCAGCCAGCAGTGCCTCGGTAAGGGGGTCCTGGGGTGCCCACGGCTGCCACCAGCCTGGCTGGGCCATGCCAGGTTTCTGAGCACCCGCCTGTTCTTTCAGAGACTGTGGCTGCGCCGGTCAAGCAGAAAGCCTCCTTCAAGATCAAGGATGCCAAGTGCCACCTGCACCCCCGGACCAAGGGCAAGCAGGAGGAGGCTGGGAAGGCCGGGGCGCAAGGTGAGGTGTGATGGTGGGGAGGTGGGGGTGCCTGTGCCCCAGCAGGGATGGGGTGCTGACCTGTCCCCCATGTGCAGGTGGCTCGGCACCGTGCTCTGACTGCCAGGTCACCTTCGTCAACCTCAAGTGTGACTCGTCCAAGAAGGGGAAGGGGCGCCGGGCTCGCAACTCCCCCAACAAAGAGGTGACACGCATCACGCTGGAGTTCGAGGCAGAGATCAAGCCTGAGGAGATCACAGGTGGGCACAGCACTGGTCTGACCCCTCCTGGGTGCAGGCACAGGTGGTGGGACCAGGGACACGATACCATCCCCATGCAGCAAGGAGAGATAAACCAGTCCTCGTCTTGCACTGGATTGGCACATGCTGGGAAGCACTTGCAGCTGAGCATCTAGGGGATGGGTTTAATGCTTCTGGGCTTCCCTCTCCACCCCTCTCTTCTCACTGCATCTCTGTTTCTTCCTGTACCCCCATTCCCCTCTGCACCACCCAGCCAGCTGCAACCTGCACTGCCTGCGACAGAGAGTGGAGAAAAAGCTGAAGTCGGCCATCAAAGCCCTGAAGAAATCCATCAACCAGGAGCGGTTCCTGCTGCGTTTCTCAGGGATGGAGTACGAGGTGGCCCGGAAGCTGAGCGTGGCCCCGGAGCGGCAGGAGAGCTGCGGGCCGGGCCAGCAGCGCCTGGCCAGCAAGTGTGGTAAGGAGCGTGGTGGGGTGACGAGGGGACCCGGCGGTGACAGCCCCCACAGCATCACCGACGTCCCCCCCGGCTCTCAGTCAGCTGCTCGCAGGGAACCTATTACCACGGGCAGACGGAGCAGTGCGTGCCCTGCCCCCCTGGCACCTACCAGGAGAAGGAGGGGCAGCTCTCCTGTGACCTGTGTCCCCGCGGCGACACCTTCGGACCCATAGGAGCCACCAACATCACTGGCTGCACCGGTAAGGAGGGCACGGGTGGGGCTCGAGGCACACTCAGGGCATGTTCAGGGCTGCAACCTCAACCATTAGCCAGCAGACAGGAAAGCCTTGAGCAACCCCAGGGCTCACAGGAGTTCCTGGTTTGGCTGTTTATTATTTAGAGGGGACCCCAGGAAGGGCAGCACTTGCTCTGGGTGTACTGCTGAGGCTGAGGAGGAAGAGGATCTGGGTATGGGGCAAGAGAGCCCCAGGCATGTGGGGTGCCAGGACTGAACAATTCCTGTGCCTGCAGGTCAGTGTCCCCCTGGCCAGCACTCTGCTGATGGCTTCAAACCCTGCCAGCCGTGTCCCCGTGGGTCCTACCAGCCCGAGGTGGGACGGGCGCTCTGCTTCCCCTGCGGCGGGGGGCTGACCACCCGCCACGAGGGAGCCCTCTCCTTCCAGGACTGCGACACCAAAGGTAGGTCAGAGCTGGTCCCCAGGAAGGGGCCACCCAGCAGGGCTGTGCCAGCAGCTGACACAGCTCCCTGTGCTCCCTGACCCTCCAGTGCAGTGCTCCCCTGGGCACTACTACAACACGAGCGTCCACCGCTGCATCCGCTGCGCCGTGGGCACCTACCAGCCCGATTTCCGGCAGAATTACTGCATCTCCTGCCCTGGCAACACCACCACCGACTTCGACGGCTCCACCTCAGTGTCCCAGTGCAAAAGTAGGCGGGCTGGGGTGCAACAGAACGGGGGGACAGGTGTGGGGGTCCTCCTTCTAAAGTATTTAAAAGTCCTGCAGAGTTTGGGGTCATTTCAGTGCTTTGTGCATGCAGGCAGGCATGGGGGGTTGCCTAATGGGACACTGCCCCTCTTGCCCAGCAAACCACCCCCAGTGGAACACTCCCCACCAGTGCCCCCATGGCACTGGTTCCCAGTTGAACCGGTCTCCCTGCCTTGCAGACCGGCAGTGTGGAGGGGAGCTGGGTGAGTACACGGGCTACATCGAGTCCCCCAACTACCCGGGGAATTACCCTGCCAACATCGAGTGCACCTGGAACATCAACCCCCCGCCCAAGCGCAAGATCCTCATCGTGGTGCCGGAGATCTTCCTCCCCTCCGAGGACGAGTGTGGCGACGTCTTGGTCATGCGGAAAAACTGTAGGTAACCGAGCGGGCCGCGGTGCTCAGGGGAGGAGCTGGGGAGGAAAAGGTCTGGGCTTGGCAGAGCTGCCTCGTGCAAAGGAAGAAGGGCACATCCCCCAGCAGCAGGAGGGGAATTTTGGGAATAGGGTGAGTGGGGAGATGAGCATCACACTGCCATCCAGGTGTCTTGCTGGATCTCAGGGATGTGCATGGGCTGGGCTGTGCGCCTGGGCCTCAGCCTTCATTTTGGGGATTAAAAGCCCCAAATCTGGTGCAAGGAAGGAATAACAATCCCTGGTATGTAACATGAGAGTTAGGGGGTGCTCAGCCTTGCCCAGCACAGACAATTCCCATCCCTGATGTCATCCTTGACCCAGTAAGGCTGGGGGAAGCTCTGCTGATGGGCAAACAGCATTCTCTGTTCCCTTGCTGTTCCCTGCAGCCTCCCCATCCTCCATCACCACCTATGAGACCTGCCAGACCTATGAGAGACCCATCGCCTTCACCGCCCGCTCCCGGAAGCTCTGGATCAACTTCAAAACCAGTGAAGCCAACAGCGCTCGGGGCTTCCAGATCCCCTATGTCACCTACGACGGTGGGCACAGGGCACGGGGAGATGCCATCCCAGCACGCTGATGCTTCTCCCTCCCACAGTTGGGGACCCAGGTCGCCCCCAGTTCACACCTCCCGTGTGTTTGGGGGGAGTGGACTGAAGGATGGAGGCCAGAGGTTTGGGGACAAGTGACAGCTCATGCCCTGTGTTTTTTGGCAGAGGACTACGAGCAGCTGGTGGAGGACATCGTGCGGGATGGAAGGCTCTACGCCTCCGAGAACCACCAGGAGATCCTCAAGGTGAGCGTGTGCCCCCAAGTCTGTGTTATCCAGGGCTGTGGGGATGTAGCATCCTTCCTTTTGGGGATGCCTCCTGCTCTCCTTGCACTTGGAGCTTCAGGGGAGCACAGGGGGGATGCTGAACCTCCCTTTGGCTCGGCTTCCCTGTAGGACAAGAAGCTCATCAAAGCTTTCTTCGACGTGCTGGCACACCCCCAGAACTACTTCAAGTACACAGAGAAGCACAAGGAGATGCTGCCCCGCTCCTTCATCAAACTCCTGCGCTCCAAAGTCTCCAGCTTCCTCCGGCCTTACAAATAGCCCCCCGCCACCCCGGGCCACCCCGCAGCCAAGGAAACCCTCTTCTCCCTTCCTTCTCCTTTCTGATTTTTCCTTCCTCCGCCTGGCTCCGGCAGGATCGCCACTGCTCGCCCCGCAGACATCCCCCCACGATTTCCCTGCTGCGCTCCCAGCCGGGGGCACGCTCCGGCGGTGAAGCCGCTCCCCTCTTCCGAAGCAGCTTCTTGGAAGGTTTTAAGAAACTGAAGTAGTGGTCCTTCCGCTGTCCCGCGTCCTCCCTTTGGTTTCCTTTACGCCAGGTCTGTCCCCGTTCCCTGGTGCCACCAGCAGCCCAGGACAGCGTGGGGGTCCTTGTCTCTGCAGCCCCCGGGGCTGGCGCCGGCTGCGGCCCCGCGGAGCCCTGGCAGAGGAGCGCAGGAGCTGAGCCGCGTCCACCGCAGCTACCGGCGCCGCTTTGCAGAGGTCGGGGGGAAAAGAACTGACAAAGCCGACTCGATGGAAAAGGAAATGCAAAGGAGTGATGGCAAAGCCCACCAGCGCGGCACCGTGGTGGCTCTGGCCCGCCGGAGAGCCGTGCTGGTGCTGGGAGGGAAGCGCAGCCAAGCCACGTTCCCGGAGAACAATGTCTGGCTGCACGGGAGAAAACAGGGAGCAAAGGAGACGGACTTTCAGCCGGGTTCGATTTTTTTTTTCTCTTCTCCCCCCCCACACCCCAGACACTTGTGCCAAGAAACCAGACTTTGTTACAAGCTCTGCCAAAGAGTAACTCGGAAAAGCAAGCTTTGAGAAGAGCAGGAGTTAATGTTTGTGCACTAGGATATCCTCCTTTCTACCTTTTTCATATGTATTAAGTGCAATCATTTGAGTCTTCCTTATATTATTTAGAGGGAAGTTGTTTGTTTTTTTTTCTACTAGAAACGACAATATTTATAACTGCCTGAGAAATGAGAATGTGTGTTTGCAAGAAAACAAAAACCACCCACCCAGAGCAAGCCGGGCCCTGGGCTGTGCTGACCAGCACGATGGCATCTTCAGGCCTTTTCTGCCACGTTTGTCCCCGATAAAAGCCCCTCTCTGGGGGGAGATGGTGCCTCTTCTGCTCGGTGCAATGGGGTGAGTTTTTGTAGGGTATTGGAGGCGTCTTGGTTCATCCATGGGGGTGGAGTTGGTCCTGTCAGACTGATCCACCACGGTTTGGGTGTTGTTCCAGCCCCGTGGCGAGGGGCATCAGAACTCAGCCCTGTCACCTGCTTGTTGCAAACTGATTTGTTTCCCTGAGGGGCTCAGGGATGAGCCAGCACCTGCTGAGGACAGGTCTGGGGATCACGCTGGGAGGAGAGGGGAGCTACCCTCCACTCAGCCCTGAAATCTCTCCCAGGCAGAGCCACCCTCACAGACCTGGGGAGGTTTTGTGCTTCTGAGTCCCACCAGCCATTTTTGGCCCCATCCCTGTGTGTTCTCACCCTGCAGGGATGCTGTGGGAGTCCCTCCCCAGGGAGTGGGGTGCAGGTCCCAGGGAAGACTCATCCTGCCACCCCTTGTTTCACTGCATCTGCCTCCCCCAGACAGGCTCAGCTGGGGACAGTGGCCAGGTGGACAGCACTGGTGGGTTTGGGTTTGTCCCCCCAGCATCTTCATGTGGACAGACAGGACTCCCAGGGACAGGCAACTGCTACCACCACTCACCCCTCCTCCTCCTCCTCCTCCCCAAGCCTCCCTACTTTTCCAGCCCTGCTGCCGGTTCTCAGCTGTCATCCTCCCCACACTTTCATCCTCATCTTCATCCTCTCAAAGACCTGGAGCTGCCAGGACTAAACATGATCGACCTGCCTACAGCTCTGCCAGTGGCAGGTCCCTTCTCATCACTGTCCCCACTTTTGCCTCCCTGTCCCTTTGCCCACACCTGAGCCAAGCCCTGCTTTTAACAAACCAATTATTTATTGCTCTGCGTGTCCCACTGGGTCCATCTTTCCTGCATCTGGGGAAAGCAGCTGCTCATCCCTGTTTTCCCTCCTTGATCCACACTGCTCCAGCACCCCAAGAGCCTCTCCCGGGCTCTGTGAGGGGCTGCAGGGGGCTGAGCACTGGCACAGGGGCTGAGTTTGTCCCCAAGATGCATCAGTTGGAAAAGTCTCTCCTGATTCATCCCAGCTGTGGATTTTCCCCTCCTGCCGCCGGCTCCCAGCCTGTTTGGAAGCTCCACATCTGTGGGCTGAGCTGTTTGTCACTTGGTCGCTGTCTGAAAGCAGCTGCTTTAATGCACAAAAGCTGCTGTAGGGATCTGGAGGGGTTTTGTGGCTCTGGGACAGTGGCACAGACCAGTGACCTTCGAAAGGGCCCTTTGCGTTTAGAAGGAAAAAAACACCAGCAGCAAAAATAAAATCAGCCCAGGAATGACCAATCCTGCTGTGGTGGCCTGGAGTGCCACAGCCCCTCCTGCCCACCAGAGCTCATTAACTTTGATTAACTCTGGCTCATCTAATGTCAGGTTACTGCCCAGCTGCCTTTGTGGGGCATCAGGACCATGGCTTGTCCTGGCTGTCACCTGTGTCACCTCTGCTTCCCTGTTGTGGAAGGATGAAGTGGGCAGCACATCCTCCTGGAATGGCCAAAGGCACCTGGAAATGGTGCTTCCCCCTTCTCCTTTCATCAAATACCTTAAAAAAGTCCCCAAAATTCCACAGGGCCCTGGAACCACCCACCCCGCAGTGGCCCAGCCCCACTCCTCACCCACCCCCACCTCAGAATGGGTTTGAAAGGCTGAAACCCGTGTCAGCCACCTCGGGGATCAAGGTTTTAAAGCAGTCAAGAAAAATTAAGGGTTGTTGAGGTTTTGGCTTTTTTTTTTCATGGAGTTATTTATATCTGCCTTTTGCAGCGGGCCAGGACTTGCCATCTCCAGCAGAAACTATTAAAGTGATGAGCAAGATGTAGTTCATGAAGTTATTTGCACTTGATTAAAAGAAAAAAAATTGTTATTTGAACTTTGTAAAAAGAAATGTTTGCATTTTGTATTGTCTTTTTTTAATTATTAAATGGAATTTCTTGGTGTTGTGTTGATCTTTCAAAAACTGGCTCTGATGCTTATTTTAAAGGTTTTTAACAGCAGGATCCAGAGCTATTTTCATTGTTTTGTTCCCTCAGATGCTGACAAGCTTTTCCAGGGCCTGAAGTATTTTTTCTCCCCCCCACAGAAGCTTAAATGCTGCCCTTCCCTAAGCTCTCCAGCCCCTGCACAATGTATTTATTTATGCACATTATTTAAATGCAACAAATTTCATTTTTAGCCAAGAACACGGAGTTAAACCGGCTCAGAGGGAAGAGGGAAAACACCCTCTACCTCAGCCCCATCCCCTTGCTGGGCTGCAGCTCTGTCCCCTTCAGCACCCCTGGACCCACAGACAATGCCCAAGTGCTCAGGAGCTGCACCTGGGCAGGTGTGGGCTGTGAGGGGCATTTATTTAAACACTTCTGCTGCTCCTCACCAGCCCTCCCAGAACAGGGCTGGACTCTGCACAGGACTCAGGTGAGCTCTGCACCAGGTAAGGGGGACACAGGGGGATCTGGGGGCCACAGCCCAAACTGCTGAACCTGCACCTCTGCTCTGGGGGCAGAGTGGAGCCCTTCCCCCTCCCTCTCTGAATACAGGGGGGATGAAGCTCCTTCCCTCAAAAGCTCCAAAATCCCACTTGGAATTCATCTCTCTCAACACAGCATCTGAGCATTCCTCAGGAGGAAGGGAGCAGTTCTTTAGCAAACCCTCCCCGAGGAGCTCTGGAGGAACAAAACCACACACAGCCATGGATGTCTGGAGGGTTTATTGCTGCCCCCCTTAGTAGAGGCGCTGGGGTTTCCCCATGGTGCTCTTGATGTACAGAGCTCGCACGTTCTGCCAGTTCTTCTTCAGCAGGGACACCAGGAAGTTGATGGCCAGGTGGATGTTGTAGACGAGCTCGTCCTCTGTCATCTTCACGTGACCCACAGCCACAGCCAGACAGAGCACCTGGGGACAGACACAGGTACAGCTTTCACAGGCCAAAGCAAAGGTGACCGAGCTGACCCACTCATCAGGAGTTGGGCTGTCCCATGGTCTGGACATGCTCCCACCAGCTTCACTTTCTGCCTCTGGGGCCAGCCCCCAGCCCTCTCTGCACTGTGGCAGAGGCCAGGCCTCCTCTCTGAGCAGCCTGGAAGTCGATGCTCCCACTTCCACAGGCTGGAGGCAGAAGGATTTATGAGTGAGCCAACAGGCCAAGTGTCAGGACATCGTTAACTCGGCTATTCTAAATGCTCAAGCATTTGCAAACCCTCACATCCACTGTGGCCTCTCAGATGTGCCCCCACGATCCCCACAGAGCTGCTCCCAAGTGAATTTGGACAGAGTCAAGTCCCAAATTCAGCCCCAGCAAAGCCCCAGTCAGGCTCAGCCCCCCAGGGACACCTCTGGCCAGGTCCCACCCCATGAGCAGCACCCACGTGCTGGGAGCATTAATTACACTGGATTGTGCTTGGCACTGAAGCATCCAGTAATTTCTTCATCATTTGCTCCGAGATCCATCAACCACAGTTAAATTATTCCTCCTTCCTTTCTGGCTGGCCACGGAACACTCCAGGTACCATTTCTCCTTGCTGGAGGGAACCAGCTACAGCTTCAGGAACACTCGAGGGACACCTACAGCCCAACACAGAGACGGCAGACACGGAACAACCCCCAGGCACACAACTGAAGCCACGCTTTACCTTCTTCATCTGAAACTTGATGGTCGATTTGACCTCATCCACCTTGGCCACCAGGTTCTCATTGTGGGTGAGCAGAGAAGGGAATTTCCCAGCTTTGTTCAGGCCTGGGCCCAGGATTCGAGGAATTTGCTTGATCAAGGACTCAGAGGCCAGGAAGGCATCGTACTTCTTAGCTGCAAGGAGACAACCAGGGGGCTAAGGATGGGCTAGCCATTAATTACATAATGTATGACCCATTATGAACTATGGGGTGAGCTCCTGTCTGCCTGAGGAATGCACAAGAGGGACTCTGGAGCTCCCAGGAAGGGAAGGATTTTCTCTCCAACCAAAAGAAATGAGCACATTTCATTCTGTTCACACAAGAACTGCAGGACTAAAGCACTCTTGCTTCCGGCATTTCTCAGCTTTTGCTGCCCTCCAGCTCCCTGACCAGGTACTGAGGGACATAGCAAAGGATGAAACTGTTGACAGGATCACTGTGTGTCTCTCCTTTCCTTGGACAACCAGCCCCATTCCTGCAGTACTGACCTGTCAGACCTGCACTGGAAACAGCCTGGTGACTTTTCTGAAGAGTTTTTGGGCAGATTTTGGTACTGGAGCTGACTCTGCTCAGCTTTTCAGCTCTGTAACTAACCGTGGCATAGAAATCTGAGCATAGGGAAAAGCCTTATGGACACTCACCCAGCTTCTTCACCAGCTTCTTATTTTTGTTGAGCTTCTTCAGAGCTTCTATATCCATATGAGGGATATCAACTGCTTTGGCCTCATCGCAGTGCTGCTGGTCCCCCAGCAGACAGACCGAGAATTTGGGCCGTGGCGTCGACTTCAACCTGGGCAAGGAAGGAAGGTCCGAGTCAGAGACCGGCCAGCACCACCCGCTTGTGCACGGAGCCAGCACGGAGACACCTTACCGCAGCACGGGGCATCCTGCACAGCCGCTCACCTGCCGTCCCAGCAGGCCGGTGGGGCCAGCCCGGGGGCTGCCGCACCTCCCCTCATGTTTTAAGACCCAGGGTCAGGGTCCGTCCGGCCGCCCCCTCTGGGCGCGCCGAACTCCCCGAGCGGTTCGGCGCCGCGGCGGCCCCGAGCGGGCCGGGCAGGGCCGAAGGCTGGGTAGGAGCGAGAGCATGGCGAACCTGACGGTACCGGAGAACCGCTTGTCCTTCTGCGGGTCGTAATTCTTGAGGCTGATCTGCAGCTCCACCGTCTCCACGAACCTGCGGGAGGCGGCGGGTGAGGCCCGGCCGGGCACGAAGGGGGAAAGCCGGGGGTGACACCGGCGTGTCCGCGGCTCTTACTTGCGCTTCTTGGCACGGCTGCCGTGCAGCACCTCCTTCACCGCCTCGTACAGGGTGTCCCGGGACACTTTGCTGCTGCGGGGGGAAACGGCAGCGCGGGCTCAGGGCCGGCCCCGCCCGGGACGCGGCCCCGCGCCCGCCCCACTACCCGCGCGTTCCCCCCGCGCTATCCACTCCGAGGATCGCGCCTCGCCGGCCGCCCGGCCGACCCCGCAGCCCCCGGCGGGCGCGGATGGCGGCGGATGGCGCGGAGCAGACGCTGGGCCGTACGCACCTCATGGCTGCGGCTGCTCGGAGCGAAAGGGCGGAAGCGGCTCCGGCGCGGTATAAATAGTGGAGAGCTCTCGCGAGACCCGAGCGCGCGGCGCGGCGCCATGTTGGGAGCGGCGGGGAGCGCATCCGCGGCTGCCCGGCCGCATCTCCTTCCTTGTTAAACAAACAACCGGGACCCCTTTGCCCTCCGTCTCGGGCCACCAGGACAGGAGTCCCTGCGTCGCTTCATAATGTATCCCAGGAGGCCTGGACTGGCCTCAGCGGCCGCCGGGAAGGAGCTGCCGGTCCAGGCTCCAGCGGTGCCTGCCCGGTTGCCCGGCCGGGCAGAGAGACCTTTTGGCTTCAATGTTGGCACTGCGCATGCGCTGCCGGCTGGGGGAGGGGGGGGAAAGGCCCCCCCTCCCCGCCGCGCACTGGCCGCTAGGCGGTGCGCGCGGGCCGCCCCGGAACCTGTATGGCGGGCGGGGCCGGCCGGGCGCGGGCGGGAGCGCCGCCGCTATGCGGGTTGCGGGGTGGGCGGCGCCGCGCGCGGTGCACGTCGGGCCGGCGGCGGACCCGGGCCCGGCGGGTCGCTCAGGTCGGTGTGGGGGCTGGGGGGCGGCGATGGCGGCCGGGCCCGGCGCCGCCTCAGCCCCCGGGTACCCCGCGGGGGGAACCCCCCGTGGCCCCGCCGCCCCCGGACCCTCCCCGCTGCCCCCCGGTTGGCTCGGGAGGACGGCGGTGCGAGGGCAGCCCCGGGGGAGCCTCCGCCGGGTGCGGGGGGCGCGGGGCGAGGCGGCGGCGGGCGCGGACGGGGCGCCGCGCCCCGTTCCTCCTGCACATCAAACCATCAGAAAGATTGGGCTGTCTCGGAGGTGGCCCAGGATGAAGGCGCTGTAGCGCCTGTGAACGATAACCCATCAGCAGGGAGTCCCTTCAGCGGAATGCTCTGGCGGGGGTGTGCAGGCTTTAGCATCATTTGCTTAGAGCCTGAAATTCTATCCCTCGGAAGGCTGGGAATTAGTCAGGAAAGGGAGGAGAGGAGGGGGAATAAAGCTCATCACCCTGCCCCTCTCTCCTGCAGCACAGGACGTGCTCAGCCTGTAGGATCAGGATTTAAAGTAGCTGGAAACCCTGCGGATCATTTGGAGGACGGGAAGGGCTCGAATGTGACAGTTGTACCATCTCTAAGAAGAGTTTGTCACTTCACTGGCGTGATAAGCTTTATTTTATATTTGGGTGTGGAATAGATTCTTATCCCTGCCTGAGCATTGTCCATCTTAACCCTTTATAACCTCAAAAGTTTTTGATTCCATTCAAGCCTTTCCTAGTGTGGAGAGATTAAAGGAGGAAGAGAAACTAAGGGCAGAAACTGAAATGGAATTGTTCTTTTTACTTAAGGCTCGCAGCAAAGACGACGACCCCGTGTCCCACGGGCCCCTGGCTCTGGGCCCCAGTGCTCCCAGGCAGGATCCATGTCTGGGGAGTCGGGGCAGGATGGAGAGCCTGGGGCTGCCAGCAGTGACCCTTGGGGATGGCACCACGGCCTGCCTGCAGCAGGCTGCCAGAGGTAACAGAGCCTCGGGCTGTCAGGGCTGAGAGGCTCCTCCTGGCTCTGGAATTAGAGTCAGACTCACCAGGAGTGCCCCTCACGGCGTGGGAGCTGCCACACGTGCGTGGCCACTTCACACAGGCAGCTGGAGACTGCTGGATTTGCACTGGAGTCAGATGTAAAATAAAATACAAATCAAACATGCCTCTGGTTTAGAAATGAAGCTGTGCAGATGGGAGAGCTGTTGCTGTAGAAAATAAAGGTGCTGTTCAGACCAGGAGAGCCCCGTTCTTCCCAGGGTTGCTGTGTAACTGCTCCACCAAAACTTCCCCTGGGCTGAGCAGGTGGTTTGGCATCACTGGTGTGCACAGGGTTTGGTTCACAGCAGTGCTTTCCCTGCTCAAAGGTGCCAAATTCCACACCTGCCCTTGCTCTGGTGTTGGTGAGGTGCCCCTTTCTCCACCACCCACTGCTCCCAGGAAGAGGAGCACACTGTTTGCCAGCCTGCAGAACAGGATGGAGGAGTTGTGCAGCTCCGTGTCCTGGGGGTTGCTCTCCTGCTTTATTTTCTGTGCAAACTCACTGCAAGTTTGTTACACATGTGCAGCTGAACTGTCTTGGAACCCCCAGGTTGTGTGACCTCCCTCTCAAACCTTATGCTCCAGGTGAAAGCAGCCTGGATTCTCCATGTTCAGTGGGATGGAGCAATTTCCTCTCTGCACCAAATCTTTGGGTAACTAAGTCATGCTTCCACGTTTGCACAGTCAGGCTTTGGCAGAGTCGAGCCTCTATAGCCCAACACTGGCAGCACTTTAGGCCCCTTTAGGTGCTGTAATTGTTTCCTAGCAGTTGATCCTCTGCCAAAGTAATAGATAAATCTCCCAGCACTTGCTGATGCTGCTCAGCACACCCAGTTCATCTTTCTTTCCAACACAAGTGCAATTGCTTTCTCTGTATGCTCTTTCTGCTCCTTGCCACGAGGAGCTGTGAGGGGCAGCTCCTCAACAAGTGATTCCTGAGGGTCTTTGTCATGTGTCTTGTCCAGACAAGGGCAGTGCCAGCATTTTTGGGAAGACAAGTGTCTCTGTGGGGGAAAGCTGATCCCTTACAGCCTAGAAGTGACAATTCATCCCTTTTGTGGGACTGTGGGAAGCTTGTGGGACAGCAGCTGATGGTATGTTTTAACTATTCCAGGTGAAAAGCTGATTGAAGGGCAAGTCATTGAACTTGAAGATGGGACCACAGCTTATATCCATCAGGTGACAGTTCAGAAAGGTGAGGAGCACACATTGCCCTCTTTCTGTTTGGAAGGACACTGTAGATGTGGCTGCAGCTCTCAGTGCTCCAGGATTTGGGCTCCTCTGTCTGTTCCAACTCCCAAAAGTCCATGTGAGCGCAGGGCTTCTTTGGGGTTTTCTTTCTTGTGGTTTTGAGGCTGAGTAAACAAGGACATTACCTGCAAAGTCTTTAGCAATGTGATGAGAAGGTGAATTTGGGTGGAGGTGGAGGCAAATGTTTCAGTGTCATTTCACCTGTGGGCTTTCCCTGTTGTCATACCACAAGCCCAGTGAGCTGTGCTGTGTTGGTGCCAGCCACAGCACACACAGAGCTTGTTTCATGTGGGAGCAGCTGGGCAGGAGTTTCCTCTGAACTGTGAGATAATACATTACTTCTGGAATAGGTGGTGGTGGTGGGGAATCATGTGGGGATTGCTGGGAACAATGCCACCTTGACCCATCAGCCACCATCATCTCTGAAATTAGGTGACATTAGTCTGAGAGGTGTTGGGAACCTGCCACTTCATGTGGCAGGCACCAGAGTGGCACAGAGGAATCATCCTTGGCCATGCTAAGATGCAAAAGGGCAGGTAGAAAGAGCTCTGTTACTTTGTGCAGTCCTTCCTTGATGCTCCCAAGCTCCTTGTATGCCACCTCCCTTTTCTGTTCTCCAAAGGCTGCTTGAAATGGATGTTTCATAGCTGGCTGTGTCCCTTTCCCCCCTTCACCCTCTTCCCTGCCTTCACATGCACAGTGAGGGGGTTCTCCTCACCCCTGCTTCCCCTGTCATGGGATGTTTGTGTTCTCCTTCACACACCCCTGTGCCAGAGCCATCCTTCTTGATTATATCCCCTTCTTGCTGGGGCATAATCTGGCATTTTGAAACTATTGAGACACTGCATCACTCCTTTGAGCAAAGGAAGAGACAAATCTGTGCATGAAGCCTTGAAAACCTCATCATTCACATCAGAAAAGCTCAAATGGTGTCTTAAAACCTACAGCTGTGGTTGCCTTTCAGGGCAAGCAGGCAGCCCCGTGTCCTCTCCTGCCTGACAGCCTCAGCTGCCACAGCACTCCCCATGCTGAGTCCTCCAGGAAGGTGTGTGGATGTTTTTCTTTTCTTTTAGAGGCTCTGGCTTTTGAAGATGGGCAGCCAGTGGTGCTGGAGGATGGCAGCATGGCCTTCATACACAGCACAGCTAAAGGTAAAGCACTCCCTGCTCTTTCCCTGGCAGCTGGAGGAAAGCTGCTGAAATGTCTCAGATTCCCAAGGCTGGGGAGATGAAGCTCTTTTTTTCTGCCTCACACTGAGTTTTTTTTCAGCTCTTTACCTGAATGATTCCTCTTGCAGAGAGTTATGAGCCTGGCACATTCCAGGCTGTCCAGCTAGAGGATGGCTCCACTGCCTACATCCACCGTCCTCTCATCGTGGCACCTGGCAGCACCATCCTGGAAGTGCAGACAGAGCCTGGGCTCCAGGAGTTGGCTGGGGAGGAGGAGGAGGATGGCTTTGATGTGGACACCATGAATGCATTGCAGCAGTATGGCAGGAAGGTGAGGGCACAGCATCTCTTGGCCTGAGTTTGTGCCCTCCCTTCAGCAGTGCTTGTGTACATCCGTCTGTCAGCAGTGCCAGCTTTGAGAAAGCAACTGGACAGGGCTCCAGTGGGAGTGCCACTGCTGAGGGGTGCCTGGGGACACAGAACGGGGCTGTGGGGTCCCGTGGGGTGCTGGGCCTGCCACCCTTAACCTGCTGCAAGCTCAGGTTTGGGGAGGGAGGAGAGCTGCTGTGACACAGCCTTTGGTGTGCCAGCAGTGGCTAAGCCATGGCCACTGTCCCCATGGGGACGAAGGCCTCAAAACCAAAGCAGCTTCAGATCCTGATGTGCTGTCACTGCAGTGCCCCACCTCAATATCCCAGGTACTGCCTTTTTCTCCCACCTCTGTAGTGCTGAGCAGCAGGGGCTGTGTGCTGGCAGCGCTGGGCTGGGCACAGACCTTCCTGCTGTGGCAGGCCCAGCCCCTGCTCTCTGGGGAAGGGTGGGGTGGCACTGTGGCTGTCACTGCCTTCCTGCTCCACGCTGTGCAGGGACACACAACAGTGCCTGTGCTTCTTCACTCACAGGGCTCTGATGAGGAAGAGGAGGCAGTGACAGACACCTGCCATGTGAAGAGTAAAGACTCCAGCAACATCTCCTCCCAGGTCTGAAGTTTTCAGTGACTGGAACTAGGCCGAACTCCTCTTTGCCAGTAATTATAAAAATGTTGTGGCTTCTCTGCCAAGTTAGCAAATGCTAACTGCACATATTTCAAATGCTGACAAAGGGAGTTTCGTGTCTGAGAGCCCCCAGTGAGCTGGGGGGTGGGAGGAGGAAATGCAGGTTCCCAGAGCCCTGTCACCTGGGCTTCACCATGTGGGTACAAGCTGGTTTGTAGGAACATGTTTTTGGAAGATAACTGCAAGAGTGCATATGTATGGCAAGGAGGGAAATATTTGTGTGGGCTTGGTGAAGCTGTGGTGGCTTGCTGGATTGATTCCAGTACTTGTCCCAGCAGGAATTGCAGGAGGAGGAGGTGCAAAGCCACAGGAAGGGGCAGCAGGTCGGCAGCAGAGCTTTCCGCTGTGGATACAAAGGTTGTGGCCGCCTCTACACCACTGCCCACCACCTCAAGGTAAAGCAGGTGACATAGCAGTGTGCAGGCCAGACCAGTCCCAGGTAACGCTGCCAGAGCAGAATGTTCCCTTGTGTACAGCTGAGTTACGTGCTGAGCTCCCCAAGAGGCCCAGATGTGTCAATGGGCCAAGGTGAAATCCAGCATCGAACTTCACATTCTCTCCACCAGCATTTTTCCACTGTTCTTCTTCCTTCCCTTGGACATCATTTTAAGGACCTGTTCTTTCTTTTCCAGGTACATGAACGTGCTCACACAGGTGACCGGCCATACACATGTGACTTCCCAAGCTGTGGGAAAGCATTTGCTACAGGTAACAATTTTCTGTTTGAAGCAGATCTCATCTTCTGTCTAACCCAGTAGAGCACAATATCTAGAGCATCTAAAGGAAGGGAATCACAGCACAGGAGCCTGCTGGGACTTCACTGATTGTGGGCAGATAACGGTGGAAGCAAGGTTGGAAGTGGTGTTGGGGTTGGTTATTTCTTCCCTTTCAAGCTTTGCAGACACAACACGGACGCTCAAGTACATGGACTGAGGGGTGGTACTCAGCTTGTCATGGTGTTTCCTTCTCATTACAAAATGAATTGTGGTCTCTGTCCTGGACAGGGTACGGTCTGAAGAGCCATGTGAGAACACACACAGGTGAGAAACCCTACAAGTGTCCAGAAGACATGTGTAGCAAAGCCTTCAAAACCTCCGGGGACCTGCAGAAACACATCCGCACGCACACAGGTGAGCAGCGCGGGAGGAGAACTGCACAGAGGACAACCCAGAAAAGATCTCCAGGTGGCTGCATGGTGGCAGGTCTCACCCACAGCTCTCTGTCCATGCAGGTGAGCGTCCCTTCAAGTGCCCCTTTGTGGGCTGTGGCCGCTCCTTTACCACGTCCAACATCCGCAAGGTTCACATCCGCACGCACACGGGCGAGCGGCCCTACATGTGTGCAGAGCCTGGCTGCGGCAGGGGCTTCACCAGCGCCACCAACTACAAGAACCACATGAGAATCCACACAGGTAGGAGGGAGCCAGCAGCAGGGAGATTGGTGGGGCTGGAATGGCCATTTCCAGGCTGAAGGTCGGAGGGGTGGGTCTGGGAGTGGCCAGGGAGTTGGTTCATTGGATTGATTATTGTTCCAGCAGTCTGTCTCCAGCTATTTGCTCTGGTGGGGAGTCCCTCCCCAGAGCATGAGGAGGGTGAAGCTGAACTGTGGCCTCTGCCCTAGGAGAGAAGCCATACCTGTGCACCGTGCCGGGCTGTGGGAAGCGCTTCACAGAGTACTCCAGCCTGTACAAGCACCACGTGGTGCACACGCACTGCAAGCCCTACACCTGCAGCAGCTGCGGCAAGACCTACCGCCAGACCTCCACGCTGGCCATGCACAAGCGCAGCAGCCACGGCGAGCTGGAGGCCACCGAGGAGAGCGAGCAGGCCCTCTACGAGCAGCAGCAGCTGGAGGGTGAGTAGCTGCTCCCCCATCAAGGTGTGGCAAAAGGGAGGGAGGTGACAGCGAGAACAGGCGCGCCCCTCTCAGACCCTGTGCCTCCCCGTGGAAGCCGGATCTATTGGAAGGTCCTTGCTGTAAGTTAGAGGTTGGGAGCAGGCCCCTGCCCATTCTGGGGTACAGGAGAGATAAAGGTCCTTCTTCCCAGGCCATCACTGGGCTGGTGTCATCGTGGTCTTGTGCTCTTCTGTGCTAGCCCTTGAGCCCACAGGCAGGTCCAGAGGCCAGGCATGTGCATTCACACCCTGATAATGCTGCTCTTCCCCTTCTCTGATCCAGCTGCTGCAGCTGCTGACAGAGGCTCTCCAATGAAGAGTCAGCATATTGCTTTCCTGTCAGAAGTGGAGGAAGATGAAGAAGATTCTGTGCCTACACAAATCTCACTTATCTCTCAGGATGGGACAGAGCAGGTATGGACACAGACAGCCTCCAGCATGTCAGGGACAGCAGTTATTATCTGAAGTGAGATTCTGCCTCTACTCAGCCGTGGTGTTCTTTACAGGGTCTTTTTGCAGCATTTTTTTCAGGCCTTGGAGCTTCCTGGTCTCTTCCTGCCCTGAGGGCTCCCTCCGACAGCCTCATCCACTGCTGCAGTGCTGGTTTGGGGGGTCTCTGGTCCAGGTGCCCCCCCTTTGCTGATGGGGGTTCTGGGTGTTTGTGTGGTGACTGGCAGCCCTTGGCTCCCTGCAGCTCCCCAGCTCTGCTGACCCAGGCTGGATTTGGAGATGTTTTGTCATCACTTGGATACAGCAGTGCTTTTCTTGAACTTCCCTCCACCAGCTGCCCCTGTGCTGACTGCAAAAAACTTCCTCCTGTGGCACGGGGCAAGGGAAACAGCTGCCACCAGTGACCTGTTTCCTCTTAGCCTCAGATGCTCCTGCTGCTGCCATGCACAAAGCTGTCCCCATCGAGGCTTGAGACAAAAGGCTGAATGGGAAGGGGAGATGTGGTGGAAGGGGGAGGGCTGGAGACCCAAGCTCTGAGTTGTCTGTTGTCACTTTTATCCATGGCGCTGGGCAAAGTCCTTGAATCTTGCAGAGAGTCTTGTTTCCTCCCTACCCAGAGCCATGCATTGCTAAACTCAGGAGTTGCCCAAGACTCCCTGAGCCTCTGCTGTCATCCCCAGGTCAGTCTGTCTCAGGAGGAGCTGCAGGCCCTGGGCAGTGCCATCGGCGTGGTGACGCAGAGCGGGGTCCTCGCCGTGCCCGAGGGAGAGCTGCCAGGTGGTGACACGGGGGCCATGACTGTGGCCAGCACTGATGGCAGCGAGGCACAGGAGGTACAGACAAAGCTGGGAGCGTCCCTGCTTCCTCTGCTAGAAGAGAGCTGCACTTTCTTTTAAAACATGATTAACTGAACTTTTCCCAGGTGACCATAGTCGCTTCTGGGGCAGTGGTGTCAGAGGAGTCGGACATCGCCCCGCTCTGTCATCAGCAGGTGGCATTGCTGGCCACCTCCCACGGCACCCACATCGCTGTGCAGGTACCACAAGGCTCTTGCCACCGTCCCCTTCACTCCTGGCCACTCGCTGCCTGCCCTCTGGCCCTGCTGCATCACTGCTTGCCCAGGGGCTTGCTCCTTAATTCCCAGATGCCCTGTGTGCAGAGAATAACAGGGACATCCTGCTGGGAGTGCAGAATGCTCCTTTGCAAAAAGCCCTTCTGCATCTTGGCCCTGTCTGCCCTTCTGCTTCACACCTGTGTCACCCACCTGTGTCACCCTCTGTCCAGCAGGAGCCACCCTGAGGTGCCTTGTGGGGGTTCAGCACTCACTGTCTCTCTCCCCGTTCCCTCCCCCAGCTGGAAGAGCAGCAGAGCCTGGAGGAAGCTCTCAGCATGGCCACAGCAGTCATCCACTACGAGCCAGTGGCACCTGACACAGCCCTGCCTGGGAAGGGGAGCTGAGGCCAGCGGAGCAGCCGGGGCAGAGGGGGAGTGGCAGCCCCAGCCCGCCGTGTGCAGGGGTGGCAGGGCAGGGACAATGTCTGAGCCAGTGCCAGCGTGTGCCCTGTGCCAGCTGGGGCAGCACAGGGCTGGGGTGACCTGTCTGAAGGGGAGGGAGGGCAGATACACTGGGCTGCTGCCTGCTCCTGGGCTCTGAGCAGCAGCCCTCTCTTCAGGGGCACTTCCTGCCCTCTCCCTCAAGGAATGGTCCAACAACTTTCCTTTCTTGCCCACCCCTCCAGCTCAGGGGCAAGCGGGCAGCACATGCACAGAAGCAATAAAGGCCCATCAGAGCAAGGCCAGGCTGTCCTGAGCTCGGTATGGAGGGTGAGCAGTTCCTGCCACTGGAGCCAGCGCTGGGATGGTTCCAACAGCAGTTCTCCCATCTCTTTGTCACACTTCCTTTTCAAACAAGGCTTCCATGGCAGATTCCTTGGCTGTGGAGCAGAGCAGCCAGCACTTGCCAGGAGCTGAGCTAGATCTGGATGTAAATGCTGAGTTGAAATAAAAACAGATTTAAAATTTGGTTTTTAAAAGGACCCCTCTTCTCTTTGGTGGAAGAGAGGTGGATGGTGGTGTTCAGCAGCTGTAAGGATTAAGGACATTGAGATTTGTGGAATTGACCAAACATGTCCTGCCAAAGCAGCAGCTGTCCCAGAGGAGGGCTGGGAGCAGGGTGAGCTGTACCCTCGGAGCCCTCAGCATGTGGCTTGGAGGGGTAACACGTGTCCCTGAAATCTCACATCAGGCCTTGGCTCTTCCAGGGACCCCTGCAAGCCTAGATTTAGGGAACTGTGTCTGTGAACACATCCTATATCCTCCCCTGAGCTGGGGAGAGAGACCTGGGCTGGTGTCCTGCCCCCAGAGGTGCCTTCAGTCCTTTCACTGCCCTGGGTGCTGGGTGGACAGAGCCGGAGAAGACCTCTGAGATCCTCGAGTCCAGCTGTAAACCTGAGCCTGGCACAGGCTCCCGGCAGTCGTGTGGCTCGTGTTTTAGACATCCCAGAGGAGTTCGTAGAGAAAGATGTTTCCGCGGGCACAACCCGAGAGGATGCCAGGGGCTGAGTCTGCGCTCGCCCGGCGAGACCGATCCCTTCCGAAGGCAGCGCTCTCAGGGAGGGAAAGCTGCTGCTTGAGCCAACACAAAGATTCCTCTCCCCAAAACGCAACTTAGGACGGATCTGGGCCGCGCTGGGCAGGAGCGGCGGCGGCGGGGCCGGGGGCTCGCGGGGCGCCCCGAGCAGGCGGCGCTCCCGCCCCGCGTCCCGCCCGCCCGGGCGGCTCCAGGAACCGGATCCGCGGGCTCGGCAGAGCCGCCGCCGCCGCCGCCAGCCATGGACCTGCGAGCCGAGCTGCTCAAGTCCATCTGGTACGCCTTCACCGCCCTGGACGTGGAGAAGAGCGGCAAGGTCTCCAAATCCCAGCTCAAAGTGAGTCCCCCGGAGCGCGGAGGGAGGGTGGGCAGCGAGCGGCGGAACGAGCCCCGGGCTGCTTTGCACCCCCGCGGGTTTCCACGGAGAAATTGTTAAATATTATGATCTATAAGAGCTTGTTGTTGCTTCCACGCTGGTTCTGGTGAAGCTCTCAGGCTCTGTGGCATCTCCCTTTAAAAAAAAAAAAAAATGGGCTGGGGGGGAATTCGTGCTCAGAGGTGTTTTCTAGGTGAAAACGGTAAGAAATCTAAATTTTAGTTATCAGTTTATTGTGCTTTTTATGGCCAGCTAAGAGCCCAAACTCTGTTCACGTGTTCTTGCTCGCCGGAGCACCTGTGTTTCTCCTTGCTGAGCCAGTGGGTCGGGAGGTAGGGACAGGTTGTTTTTTAACAAAAACTCCTCAGTGGTGTGGCTAGAAGTAACAGAGCACTTTAAAAAACTCTCTACTTTCCCCTCTCCCCACTCTTAGCGGCTTTCAGAGGGCTTATGCTCTCAGCCCTTCATTAAACCCATCATAGCTTTAAAAATCTTTTTGTTTGCCCCCAGGCCAGGGTTGATGGAACTCACCAGGGAGCCCCTTGGCTCTGAAAATAATTTATTTTTTAACCTTTGCATACGGTGGGAATGTGGTTTTTTCATCCGTTTTGGTTCTTAGGCTGGCACTGGGGTTGGAAATGCTGCTTGGTACCAGGGTCTGTATGAGAGAAGAGACCTGAGCAGGAACATGCTGAGCACAGGGAGGTATTGCGTCAGGACATGGCAGCTGCTGCCAGTCTGCGAGACCGTTTTGAACCACTGCAAAAAAAAACCTTTTCCTCCATTCCCTTTATTTTATAGGGCTTCCCCGGGACAGGCTGCAGGGAAGGTGCTGGTCTTTGGAAGGGGAGTGTGTTTTGCCCCAGAATTAAGAGTTTGTTTGCAGGGATCCGGAGGAGAAGCAGCGGGAGGCAGATTCTTCCTGCTCAGCCTCTGCGGCTGAGAGCCTTCAGCTGCCCCCCAGAACTCGTGGCATGTGCCCTGCGAGCCACACTCACCTGCTAAAACTGTAGAAATAGCTGAAGGAATTAAGGAAAATCCTAAAGTAGGCCAGAGCTTAATTCAGTTTGCTAATCCCTGAGAGGGGCTGCTGTGTTCTCTGCTCGGTGCAGAACCTGGCCCGAGCATGGGGTGGACCCAAAACCACCAGCAGTGCTTGTCTTGAGAGATCTTTATCACCAGTGACGATGCTGAGGCCACAGAAACTCTGATTTTAGTGGCAGTTTCATGGACAGTTCATGCAGGGTCTGCAAACCGTGGTGTAGGGGCTGTGGTGATGCTGGGGATGGCACCTCCAAAGTGACTTTACCCAGGGGGACACTTGAGAGGGGAAGGGATGTTCTCCCACGCGCCTTCGGTGACGGGATGGGTTGGTGGCACATCATTGAACAACACAGCTCAGCTCAGCTCTGGATGACTTTCCCACTGTCTCCAGGCCAGGGAGATCTTGTTTCCACCCACAAAAACACTCGAGTTTGCCCCAGCCTACACAGGCCAGCCGTGGTTCAGTGAGAAGGAATCTGGGGTCTCGCTGCTCTGAGCAATAAAGTGTTAAAGCCACCAAGCCCTCTCCAAACCCCTGCAGGGCTGCTGAGCCCTGGGCTGTGCTCTGCTCCCTCACCCAGGCGTGTTGCTGCACGAAAGGGCTTGAGCAGGGGTGGCAGAGACACGGGGTTTGTGCCTAGGGGACAGAGCCAGCCCCAGAGCCGGCCTGGCAGAGCAGGGGCTCCGGGCACTGTTCTGGGAAGGTGTCGGAGTTCCCAGCATGAGGACGCAGCTGTGGGAAGCCATTGGGCTCCTCGCAGGGGCACTTCTGCGCAGGCAGGCATGTGCAGATGCTGTGGGAGTGTAGGGGTGTGTGTGTGTGTGAGTGAGTGTGTGTGTGTGTGTGCACAGGAAGGAAGGACAGCTTGCGGTCGGGTGCTGCGCGCCCAGAGAGGTCGGGTAGTTTTGCTCCCAGCACAGGCACACCACCAGCCCTGCTCTTCTCTTGGGAAGCGTTGGTGCTCTCAGAGCCATCGCATCCCCCTCGCTGGCCGGGCTGGAAGGGCTGTGCATGTAGGATGGGGTGTGGTCCCTTCAGGGTGGCCACGCGTGCCTGGAAATACCGAGCGCTGCCCTGGTGCTTTTGGGCACCTCTGCTCATGGGTGATGGGTGGGAGAGGGTGGAGAACAGAAACAAGGCTGCTGCTCGGAGGAATCCAGGGCACTAGGAGGAGTCAGGCTGACCCCTGCACTCCAGCCATCCCCTGCATGTCACAGGGGAACGGTTGTACCAGCAAGCTGCTTTCCTAGCATCCCTCTCCCCTGCTGTTATTCTCCTCCTCCTGTCGCTGTTTCAGAGCCTGCAAGGGTTTCTCACCTCTCCTATCTCCAGCCATGCCACCATTGACCAGGCCAGGGCTTTCCTCCCCATTTGTCAGTGGAGGGGCTTTGGGTCACAGGGTGCCAGGATGGGTGGAGGGGCTCAGGGTGCCCCCCACAGCTGGGATCACAAGTGAGACCTCACAGGACTCTTTAGGAGTGCTCTGGGAGGAGGGGTGAAGGATGGAGATGAAACGTTGGAAACAGAGAATGGGATACGATTCTCAAACTTTGAATTCATCCTAATGGATTTGTGACCATTCTGGAAGATGTCTATGATATTCCCAGGCCTTCCCACCACTGTGTGGACCCTGGGGCTGCACTGAGCCCCAAAAGGCACTGTGCAGCAGCAGTGCTCGGGGCTACAGCCCTGTTGTTTGAGCACAGGGTGGAGTCCTGCTGATCCCATTGGTCCAGAAGGTGGAAAAGAGAATGAAAATCTAGTTGAGCAAGAACTGTCTCCAGCTGCAGCAGCCATCATGGCCTCAGGCCACTCCTCTGCTGCTGGGAGGAAATTTCCAGCCCTGCACAGAGGAGTTGGGATGCTGTTCCATCACCTCCAGCCCCTCTCTTGAGCCCTTGGCAAGCTGCATAAGCAGATCCTGGTGCAGTGGTGAGGTGTCAGTCTGGGACGCTGGTTTGACCATCTCTTGCTTCTGGGATGTAAAGGCAAGGAGAGCACCACCTGCCCAGCATCACAAGCTAGAGATGCTGGTGGTGCTCATGGGCAGCCTTGCTCCAGGCTTTCCAGCACATGGGAAATCCATGAGCTTGTAAATATGCTTTGTTTAGGGGGATTTGAACTAAGCAGGCTGTTGGCAAGCCTTGCTGAGTATTTCTGGGGATGGTGTGTCTCCAGATCTCCATTGTCTGCTTCCATTCCAGACAAAACCTTTGCTTAGTTTCTCACCAGTCTTTCCTATTTTCATGTTTCCATTTTTCTGTGTCCCCAGCAGACAGTGGGTGCTGCCAGGCTGGGCTGTGGTTGTGCCAAATGCATAGCTTGGGGTGGCTTATCAGCTTTTCTAGATCAGAGCGAGTCCTGTTCGCTCTGAGAGGTTTGAAACAGCCCTTTCAAGAAAGAAGTTCCTCATATGCCAAGAAAAGAAACTAATGTGGGAAAATCCTCGATTTTTTGCCTGTTTCTAAATGATTCTCTAAAGTTTACATTTGGAAATAATGCCAAACCCAAAGCTTGACTGGATGCTGTGGCTGCCGGGAGGTGATGCCATGCAGGGCACAGTGCCCAGGGGGGTGAGGGAGCGGGTGGCACCTTGGGGATGTGCTGGGGCAGGGCTGGAGGTTTGCTCACCTTCTCACCACCCCTTGTGCTTGGCCAGGTGCTGTCTCACAACCTGTACACGGTGCTGTGCATCCCCCACGACCCCGTGGCACTGGAAGAGCATTTCCGCGACGACGATGACGGGCCAGTGTCCAGCCAGGGCTACATGCCTTACCTCAACAAGTACATCCTGGACAAGGTGAGCTCCTTGGTCATCCCCCAGACCTGCTGCTCCTCACGTGAGAACCCTGAGGTTCCTGGGGGCTCCCCTTAGCTCTTGGAATCACATTCCTTGGTGGGTGGAAAGAGGATGCAGAGAGATGGGGAGTGCTCAGACGAATGCCAAAATGAGTGAGAAATGTTTAATACTCAGCGTCTCCCTGGCAAGGATGAAGTCATCCCTTTACGTCACAGCTCTGGATGGAGCAGCATCTCTGACCACATTTCCTGAAGGGCTCAGAGAGAGAAATCAGCCCCTTTTATCCTCACCTTTGAGGTGTGACCTCATTTGGTAAAGAGG